TGGAGTATTAAGGAAGGCTTGTCCTAGTATGGAATATTGAAGTGGGCCTTAAGAGACTACAAGAACATTGGCATGCAAGTGTTTGTGTGGATGTACATTTTCCTTTTTCTTGCATATATACCTAGGACTGGAATTGCTGGGTTGAATGATAAATTTATGTTTAACTTTTTAAGAAACTGTCAAATTGTTTTTCAAAGTAACTGTACCATTTTACATGCCTGCCTGTATTATATGAGGTTTCCCACCTTTCACATCCTTGCCAACATTTGTGATTATTTATCGTTTTTATTCTAGCCTTTCTAGTGAGTATGAAGTGGTATTCCTGGGGTTATAATTTGAATTCCCTAATAACTGATCATGTGGAGCATCTTTTTGTATGTGTTTATTATCCTTTACTAGATCTTCTTTGGTGAAATGTTTACTCAAATCTTCTGCCCATTTTTAAATTGTGTTGTGTTTTATTATTAAGTTGTAAGAGACACAAAAGACCACCCACATATGATTGTATTTATATGAAAAGTCCAGAAAAGACAAATCTTTAGAAACAGGAAGTATATTAATGGCTGCCTGTGGCTAGAGGTGAGAATGGGAATAATTAACTATAAAATGGACATGAGGGATCTTAAGGAGAGAATAATAATGTTCTAAACTGGATTGTGGTAATGGTTGCACACCTGGGTGAATTTACTAAAAATATATACTTAACATGGGTGAATTTTAAAGTTTTTTTTAAAACAAGATGAGGAGGGGTTCTCTAAAGGATTAAGTACTCTAGGAAGAAAGAACTGCATGTGCAGAGGCTCAGCGGTATATGATGCTGTTGGGGGAGGGGGAAAAAAAAGCATAGCTAAAACCAGGTGTAGGAAGTGCAAGGGTTGAAGCCAGAGAATGAGTCTTCATTCTGAAGGCCTTATATATCATGCTGAGGAGTTTGGATTTGATCCTGTAGACAGGAAGAACCTCCCAGCAAAAGTGGCTTTTTGTAGAGGTTCTCTTCTAAATGTAAACGATCAATTGATACACCTTTGCAGTTGTTTGGGTGGTTTCATTCATCTTATTTTTATATAGAAAAAATGAAACTGTTACTCTCTTCCTTATTATGAAGGTAAACATTGGCAAACTGATGGCATCAGCAATGTCTCTTACAAATCAGAAGAGAGACTTATAACATTCAGCCTAGAAACTTTTGGCCCCGTTACCTTGATTCAGGATTCTCATATTAATATGCCATTCCAGTCATGGGAACTAAGACCACTTGATGTGAATAAAGTACTTTTGACTGTGACTACAGTATTTACTGAGATTCAAATACAAATTAAGGTAAGTCACAATTACAGTAAGTCACATGAGAGCGGTAAACCGCTTTGATGACAGTAAAAGTATGTCAAAGTAATCAGTCACTGGTGATTTACATATTGAAATATGAATTTACATATTGAATCAATTTACATATTGAAATCAGTTATAAATATATTTAAAATATACTTTGAGCCATAATTTCTAAATGAAATAGTGATTGGATAGGTAATAATGTATAACAAGTGATGTGCAAATTTGTACCCTAAAGTTAGTAGAAATAACTAAATAATAAATTAATTTAATAAATTAAATAATAAACCAATTAATGAAGCTACCAGCCTGTTGCAGTGTGACTTCCAGAGAGTTTTTGATCTACTCTAAAGAGGCTTCCTCCTTAAAACCAGATGAGAGATGTGAACTCTGTACACTTTCAAATTGCCATTTTGTGAACTTTAAAACTGGATAATTTTGCATTTGTTGTGTTAAACCTTATATGTGGAAAAAAATTATCCTTAAAAGTGGCAACATGAATAGCTATCAAATAGCTTTTGTAATTAAGTGTGACCATATTCAGTGTTCTTAGATCATAACTCATACAATGGGTGGAGACCTGAGAGATCTTTTAGTCCCTTGATTTGTTCAGATAAAGCCCCAAAAGGGTTGACCGACCGACTGGTTGGGATAACAAGGGAGACTTTACGTGAGACTTCTCAGAGCTGGCCCAAAACATATCTGTCCTGCATTCTTTTTAATACAGAATGAGCTAAAAAAAAAAAACTAGTATGACGAACCTAAAGGCTCGAAATGGAATAATGATGTAATAATTTACTTTATCTTTCTTCTTATTGAAACTAGGAAAACCTCTGCATGTTAGCATCAATCAAACTAAATAACAAAAAGCATTCCTCTATTTTGGAAGGAAAATGGATGACTCCTATTTCTTTCATTTGTGCTTTGAAAGAAGCTGGATTGAATATCTTCCCTAGTGGACACTCTCATTTTTATGTTGTTATAAATTATAAGGTAAGAACAAATCTTTCCAAATTTAATGTAATGGACATTTAGAATGTTAGCAAGCGTTAAATATTATGTAACTCTTCAGGTACATTTTAGGTTTTCTATATTCACTTATACAGAATTATGGTTAGGAAGGAATAAATGGCAACACCAGAAATCCAGGGTTCTCTCAAGTTTAATAATCTTTCCCAAGAAAGTAAGCCTGTAGTATGATCTTCATATTGACAAATGGAGCATTATCCACAGCTGGTCAGTTTAGTGCAAAAGTAGTTAGAGCAACTTTGCATTTTGTTTATTTTCTTTCTTCTTCCAGGCTGGATATCTGTAAGATTTCTTAAAAGAGTAAATGACTCAGCAGTTTCCCAAACATGACAAATTAGGCAAAATTAAACACATAAAAGGACCACTGATATACAGAACCCACTTCCTTCTGTTTCTTGGGAGAGGCTCCCTGTCTGCATACTGCTTCACGTTACTCATAAGACTAGTTAAATAAGATCCTTCCACGTTAAACTGTGTTCCATGAGGATGAGGACTGTTCTTTCATCACCTATGATTCTTCTAGCACCTAGCATATTCCTTGAATCAGATGTTTAGTAAATATTTATGATATATAAATGAAGCCAAAGTAGGCTCTAATCATGAAAGATGTTCTTGGCTATAGAACTCATTTATAATATACCAGAAAATGACAATATAGGTAGACATATAACATCTGAAAATAATATCACTGAGTGTGGACATATGTAACTCAATTGCCAGTTACTCTACAAATGCTGAATGTAGTGTACTATTCATCTCAATATTCAAGAATTTTTTTTTCTGAACACATATTCTAGGCATTGTTTTAGATGCTTAGGATCCATTAGTGAATAAAACAAAGGTACCTGCCCTTGTGGAGCTTACGTTCTAGCAGAGGAGGGCAAAAATATACTAGATAATCTTATATTTTATATGGGAAAAAATGGGCAGATAGGAATCATGGGGTTAGGGCAACATACAGTATCAAATAGGGTTTTGGAGGAGGGGACACTCAATGAGAAGGTAAGATCTGAACAAAACCTGAAGGTGGGGAATTTAGCCAAGTGGAGCTCAGAGAGCAAAAGGAGAAGCAAAGGAGATGATAATGGGATGTCTGTGGGGGGGGATGTCTGATCAGAGAGGCCCTTGTAGGTCATTGTTAGGACTTTGGCTTCTCTTCTGAGAAGAGAAAGGCAACACCATTGCCCTGTTCTGACAGAGTCATCATATCATCTGACTTACATTTTAAATGGATTTTTCTGTGTTGAGAAGCGACTGTAGGAGGCCAAAGATGGAAGACTTGTTGAAAGGCTCTATGATCAACTCTATTTGTTTTTATATTGACAGGATCCTTTAGTAGAAATGAAAGCTTATCGACAACTGGCCCTGTTAAGTTCTGCTTTTGCATTTGGTTGGAGCAAGTGGAATATAGTATGTAATTCAAAAAAAGTTATAGTTAAGGTATAGTATGCAAAAACCCATAAAACTACTTTGTCCTCCAAAAGAAGATACTCAAAAGCTAAATGGATATAGGCCATGGTTTCTCCTCTTGGAAAGGTGAAAAAAATTAACCTCCGAAATAGTTTTAAAACTTCACTTTTGTTTATTTTGTCAAAGATATAAAACCAAACTATATAATGGTTATGCCTTCATTGTCCATTATGGTATCAAACACTCTTGACTTCAGGCTAGCGTCCTTATAACTCTTTACATCAACACGAGAACAGATGGAAGCTTTTAATGTGAATATATCTATGATTCACAAACTTTTTCCTCAGAGACAGGCCTCCAATTTAACATTTGGCACATTTACTACTGCCTGATGAAAAAGATACCAAATTCTAAAAGCTGATGAATGTTTGTTTTAGCATAAGTGAGCCACCATATTTACTTGTGTGTTGTGTGTTTCTCCCACTCGAATATCAGCTCCGATTTTATTGTTGCAACTGTTAATATGTTTTTTCTTTGTTGTTATATCCCCAGCACCTAGAACCTTCCCTGCACCTGGTAGCTACTCAATAAATCTCTGTTGAATGAATTAATACATTTTGATAAGCTCCATACAAACATGGTTTAAGAAGAATGGTTCTTTTATATTAGCAATTTTGGGGACTGAGTTCAAATTATACTCTGCCAAAATACCTAAAAGAAGAGCTATTAATGGATTTCTCTAATTTTTTCTTTAGCTGAAGGAACACCTTACTGAAGAACCTACTCAGAAACCTAATTGGACCCTTTTAATGTTTAGTGGTGACAGAGCACAAAGGCTCAAGATCAATGAAGACAGTGAGGCATTCTCTGAAGCCCTTCAAGAAGAAACTGAGTTTCATTCTACTTTATATCACATGGTTAAGGATTTTGCTTCCAAAAAAGCAATGGAAAAAATTAGGAGCTCCAACTGCCAGTTTATTGACTCTGTGTGCTATATGCTACTCTCAACTCGATTACTCAGCTATTCTTAATCCCCACTGATAAATTTTATGCAGTATGAAGAATCAAGCAACTTGGAGCAAAATCAGGTATTTCTTCAATAAAATGTAATGAGTGAATGAATATATTTCAAGAGGTTATTAAAATTTAATAAGCATTTTATACTCAAATTTTATTTTTTAAAAAGTGGGGTTTCCCCCCCCGATGAATATTTGGCCTACTGAGACTTTCACTTTTCACTCTAGGAAGACTTGAGGTTCTTTATTTCAATAAATTTTGACAAACAATATATAATACCTCCTCCTCAAAAAGCTCATTAAAAATCACAGGCAGGATTCCTCCCCATTGTATTTTAGCCAGAGAGGAAATCGCAGAAAGAGGGAATGTAAAATACCTTACAGTCCTTCTGAGACCCTCTGGTTCAATGCTATACTTTCCCAGCTAAAAATGACTAATTTACGAAGTTCAGATACTGAAACTTTAAAAACCAAGACACACACGTTAAGATGTGCTCTAGTCACACTGGTGGTGGTCCATTGTGTTGGAGTCTGGTAAATGGCCACAAGATTTGCTCTACAGACATCCAGGAGTCCCCATCTGGTATGGGAGTAGCATCCACAGACTTTTGGAAGAATCGTCCTGTGAGGAAGCTCATCAAAGCTGCAAACAGTACAATGAATGCAACAGAAAGCCAGAGTGCCTTATTCGCCTTTCTGAAGGAAGTCTTGAGATTTGTTGCCCATGAAGCTACTGTGTCATAACTATAAGGAAAACACAAATTCAGAATCTGTTACTAGAAACACTCCTTTTGCCAACAATACCAGTCAAGTCATCGATCTGCCCTACCTACCACAAACATTGCCTTATAATAAGCTACATAATGTGACCTGCTATCTTGGTTTGGGCCACAATTTGCCCCACTCCCACCCCAATAATTTTTTAGAATTAAAGAAATGATTTAGAGTTAAGAAATGCTATGGTGATGATCTGAAATTTAGGTGACTCGGGCATTATTTAACTCCTAACAAGAACATTTGAGTATTTATCTCATTCTTTCAATCAGGTAAGGCATCTTAAATTCCTACAGTAGTAGAAACAAAAATGTTATTTATTGAGTAGAGCATGATATGTGTGTATATACATATGTCACTTATTTCTCACCATACCCTGGACTTGTGCTATATTGAAATTTAAACTATTTTTAGTTTAAGAAAGGAGACACACAAGAAAAGCCTACTATAACATCAACTAAGTCTTAGCATTTTACATGTGCTACTGTTGTCGTCCCTATCTTCTAGATGAAGAAATTGCCGCTCAAAAGTAGATGAACTTGCCTAGGCCCCTCTGCTCCAGGACCAAGTTCCTAACTGTGACCTGTCACTGGTTCAGGGATAACTCCTGTAGACCATGTGAAGTTTGTTTTTTTTATCTTAAATTTAACAATTTGACAGGTCTTTTAGTACTTTGACTAAGATTAACCTGTTAACCCTGCCTCATCTTTCCCCATTCCACAAAAATGGTATCATTAGCAAGCAGACAACTTACATTGAAGATCCATCCCATTTTGATGGATTATTTCTCCTTTCAGAAAGACTTGGCTTCCTTGTCCTTTCTACTGTTTCTTCTCCAGGTGGTTCTGAGTCATCTTTAGTTCTGTAAATAAGTATTATGTTTAAATGTTTGAAACTATGGATAAAATACCAGATTATTTAGAAAATATTGCTAAATTTTATTGTATTACTAAAGAGGCTCTCAGGTATTTGTTTTGCTTTGGAAAGATGTGCTATATAGTTCTAAAATCAAATTCCTAAATTTTTATTTATAGGAATTTAATTTTAAAAACTTGCTATATTTAGAAAAATGTTTGTTGTAGGAAGTTGGGATACTAGCCAAAGGATAAGTAAAAAGGAGAACTTTACAAAGAACATGTAGAAGTTCGTCAGTTATCACCACTCATATTATAACTGGTGTTATTAACCTGTGATTTCTTTCTCTGCTTGTGTATAGTAACTAAACTTTAAAAAACAAAGGTGAATATTTCTTCCTCTGTATTCTTTTTATTCAACATATGGTAAAATTTTTCTCCTTCTACCCCTTAATATATTAACAGTGGATTTTATGCTAAACTGGAGTAATATCAAAGTGTCATTTCTTCTTTAAAAATCTTAATTTTAAAAGTGTTTATTTAATGAGCTGGGAAATAGAAATTGGACCAAATATATTTTAAATAAAATCATATTGTCTAAAGAGTTTTTCCTTTAACCTCAACATAATTTGTTTCATTACCATGTTTACTGATGAGTTCCTAGTTGGATTTGAATTTTGAAATTCCAAGCTCATAATGCTCTCACTATTACCAAAGGCAACTGTTTCTCAGAGGTTTGTTTTTTTTTTTCCTTCCTTCTTGGACATCTATAGGGAATGTATGTGGCTAGTTTTCATTTTTAAAGGAAACCTGGCCCAGGGTGCCTGCATGACAGTTGGTTGAATGTGGACTCTTGATTTGGGTTCAGGTCATGATCTTGGGGTTGTGGGATCGAGCCCCACGTTGGGCTCCACACTCCGTGGGAATCTGCATGTCCCTCTCCCTCTGCTCCTCCCCCAACTTGCATGCTCTAAAATAAATACATAAAATCTTAAAAAATAAGGCCCAAAACACTGAATTCTTGTAAGATTCTCAAGATTTCAGTCTTTTGTTCGCTAAGACTTCTCAGTAGAAATCATACCATACCAACAAAAAGCAAAAAATATTGTAATATTTTGAAGAAAACTTGATTTTTTTTAACCCAGATCAGAAAAATCCATTACGTTAACTCTAAATCTGAAAATGGTTTTCAGCACATGCAGTACGCTCCCAGGATTATTTTAAAAACAAATACAAAACCTGAGGGTAGGCACTATGTTTTACTCATCTTTATACCCCTTAGGATTGAGTTTAGTATCTACCACATAGTAGGCAGGTATGAACATGTATAAAATGAACATAAAATCATTTCATTAAGATCTCTACAGATGAGGAAACGGAGACCAAATAAAGTTAAACAATTGGTCCAATGTCACTCAAGGACTTAGAGGCAACATTTCTTCATGTCCCTCCTCTGCCCTCTACCTATTGCTATACTTCCATAGCAATATAGAGTTTTGTTTCCCCTACTGTTCATTTACATAAAGAGAAGACAGAGGTATATACAGTGCACATATATTACATATGTGGCTATATGTTATATACACATATGTTACATATAATTCATGTTTTGTTTTGTTTTTTCATCTAAGTAGATGGACATTTTACTTCTGTGGCTCTTTATTGACCTTTCTCCCTGATGACCAGATACCTATGCAGGAAAAAAATAATCTTCACAATTCTGGCAAATTTCAGTGTCTAAGACCTCAAACCTTACAGTTTTGAGTGCTACAAGAGTAAATATATTTGCAAATAACATTTATGCAATGCACTATGGTTTATAAAAGTCTTAATTCTGTTTTGAATAATGCAGCATTATCTCATTTCCATAGAATAAAAGTGATCCCCACTACTTCCCAGCTCATGTCAGGTTAACACACACACCAAGCTTTACCTACTTTAGTTCACATTTTTCTTCTTCAGCATCTGCCCAGGAATAGGTGCTAATAAATCGATGTAATGAGGGACGGTGTTCACTCTGCTTTGATCCCAAAATACGCCTAAGTAAAGATGATTATAGCCACTTGTCAAATTAAATACATCTGTAGCCATTATCAATTTATTTCCTACTACCTAAATTAATACAAAAATTATATGTTCTATTTTTTGTTGGCACACTCACTTCATAATAAAATTTCATGATTGTACACCTATTGTATAATTATTGTGCATATACCCTGTGCAAATCAAATGTTACTTTATTACTTATTGCAAACATCTACATCAGTCAATTATAAAACAGTAGGGTTCCCAAAGAGCAACCTTAAAATTACACTTACCAGCTGCTTGACCTCCTACTGAATCGGTCATTTTCCATCCCAGCCACCTTTAAATTTCAGATGTTAAAGAAATAATGAAATACGACTTTAGTGAAGTTTATATTTTTGTTATATGAAAATGAATTTGCTTTTGATTAAGAACACTTAGGAATTTGCTTACCATTCCTGCATTTCCAATATTTCTGGGCAAAGAGGCAATGGTCACCCTTCGGAGAGAAGATGGCTACCCGAAGAGGGCAAAGGTACATTTAGAAAACTATCAGTATTTTACATTGGATACGACACTAATGGATATCCTTGTACGTACACATCCCTGCATTTGACCACTGCTGAGTTAACCCGTAGACATGTTTTGTTATGGCCAAATTGCCTTCCAGAAATATTGTACCAATTTATACTCTACCTTCTCCAAGACTGGATGAGTATAATTTTTGCCAAATAAAGTTTCTTGTTTAGTTTTCTGGTGACATTGAACACTTTTTTTATGCGAATAATCATGTATAAATCTGCTCTGGGAACTATATGATCTTTGCCCATATTAATGTCATTAATGATAATTCTGGCAGAAGTTTTTTTCATTGTTAATGCAGCTGAATCTTTCTTTTGCTATCATTTACTTTATGCTGAGGCTTTCCCAACTCAAGAGGAGATACATGTGCACCTATTTTCTAGCTGTTTTTTTCATGGTTCATTTTTTCCATTTAAGACATTTAAAGATGGGCGGGATATTTTGATAAATGGATGTGTTTATTTGTCAGCCTCAGATTTGCATAGGAAAATGTTATATACTACTGTGATTCTTAAAGTTTAAGTACAACTTCAGGAAATAAAAAATATATTAAGTGTAGGAAATAAGCTAAAGAAGCTTAAGGTGAATCGTTTTCTTAAACCTCCATTCCTAATTTCATAGGTTAGCTGAGTATCAAGAATATCAAATTGCAATCCAAGAAATTTGGGTTCTCACCATGGTTCTGCTACTGCATGATCATTACTAATCACTTAACTTCTGTGAAAGTGCTTTTCCTCATCTATGACAAAGAGATTTGGATGGAATGATTTTAAAGTCTCTCGCTCAAAAATTCTGTGAAATTCTGATTTTCAGATTGGCAAAAACTGCTGGTTGACTCCCAATATTCCATTTCCCCCCTTTTTATTTGGTAAAGAACACCTTGATTTTCAGTTAGGCACAAAGCCTCCAGAAATAAAAATGGATTTTCTGGTCTTTCAACCAAGAATGACAAGGAAATGTTATTTGGGACTTCTAGGAATTGTCATTGGAGGGAGAGGGAACACTTGTTTTTATGTCTTCCTTTTTCCTAGCATGTGACTGGATGTAATGCCACCCTAGACCGTGAGGTGGAAGCGGAGGGCTGAGGGGGAAGAAGCAGCAAGAGGAGACTGGGCTCTGTGGATTTTGTGAAGCCCCTCTACCATTTTTGGACTGCCTATTTCCATCTCCAGTTTTACATGAGAGAGAAACTATCTGGCTTTCCTCTTGCTTTCAGACAAACTTGAATGATGTACAAATATAGTAAGAAGTATAAAAGTATACATATATAAACTTAAACATGCGTATGCATATCTACATAAATATACATGATTTACATTTAAAAACGCGTTGTTTCAAATAATATTTTGAAACCATCGCATCTGTAACACTTGATAGACTGTTAAGTCAACTAGTAATTACCTTGGAGTTTAGGGAAGATGAACGCTTTTTAATTTGGCAGTCATCTGAAAGGAAAAACACATTTGCACATTTGAGGAATTACATAAGCAATTTATTGCAACGGTCTTATTTCTTAACAAAAAAAGCAATAGTCAGAAATATTTAAGACCCTAGAGACTACTGAACAGTAAAAATATCTGGTTATCATTTGGTGACTCATAACAATTACCATCTGAATACTGTCCTCTATGTCACTATATATGTCCACAATGCTTACCCAGCACATAGGAGATGCTACATGGATATAGGCTGAATAAATGAATCCAAAACTATAGATCAGAAGGTTATCAAATATGATTACTTTTCCTAGAAAAGGGAAGAGATCTTTAAAATAATTCTGCTCAGAAAAGTTCACATTATTTAAAATAAAACTATTACAAGATTTATATAAACCTTATATTTTTAAGGTATTTCCCATGGTCTCAGATGTGTCCTTATTTTCCAATCCGTCTGCCAGCTTACTATGCCAGAGTCATTCCTTCTTCAAGAAATAGAAAACCATTGTTGATGAGAGTGGCTCATTTAATTTATTGTGCTTTGCTTTGTGTGTGGAGGAAGAGCCAATTCTAACATACCCTGAGTAGGAGAACATTAGAGTCAACTCAATGGGTTGGATGAAATATATTCTCTCATCTCAGCAATCTAAATTAATTTAATGAATTTTTGGTGTCATTACCAAAGAATCCTCCTTGTGTCCCAACCTGTTTTCTAACTTACATTTTACTTGGGGCTATATAAATAACAGGATGAGTTATTATTCTAACATAACCTTAACCTAAGAGTTTTATACTAAAGACATAATAAGAATTAGTAAGAGAATGAAAGAGGAGAATCTTAGAAAAACATAACTGATACCATTAAACTTTTATTACCTTCATCTTCAAGAGGGTTAAAAGACCTTTCATTTTGCAGAAGAACCTGTTTCAGTTCTTCTAATTCAGCATGCTCTTTGGCATACCTTCTCTTCAGGTTTTCTACATGCTGAATCATCACTTCAACTGCTTTACTAACCCGGCTTTCCTAGTAAAAAAAAAAAAAAAGTAAATTTACATTGAAAATATTGTTCTTGATATCCAGTTAAAAAATGATTAGACACATACATCTATCTTCACTACATCCCCAAATCTCGCTAAAATTACAATGAAGTGGTTTTGTTTGTTTTAAAAGAAGACACAGAACAAATAGAAGAGGGTATAATGAAATTTTGAAAGCCTGCTAGTAGTAGGACTAGTGGTGAATGACTAAGACCTGAAAAACCTGAACCTTAAGAAAAAGTAGGAAAAGCCTACAAGCAACCTGGGCTGCACCACAGAAAGCCATACAGGCTCAGGAATTAATGGTGCCTCTGGAATTAAATGTGAAGGTAGGTATGTGAAAAGAAATGGTTGAAAACCTGCAGAAAAAGTGATTAGAGCTGCAGATCTCCTCCCTTATTCAGGCCAACTGAGCAACTTCCCTTCACCACTTTGCTGAAAGACTATAAATGTTGGATATCTAGAGAGAGAGAGAAGCAGCCTGTGGATTGGGCAGTAACAGTTGACGGTGAATGGATCACAGAGAAAAGAATAGGTTTAGGCAAAAGTCTGTATACATATTGAATACTGAGATTCCTAGCCTGATTTCTCCTTCCAACTTGCAAACACAGGTGGCCAGGCTTATACTCACAAAGCAGGCAACTGGAAGATTTTCCTCTGAGGAATCTACGTAGCAAGATAAAAGTCTTAAAACTACTGACATCAAGAATATCCCAGTGAAACATCCCAGTTTGTGTGAAGCTCAGAGCCAATGAGAACCCTCCCTGCCCTACATACAGCTCCCATTTAGCTATATAGTGGATCATCACTAGTCAGAGGAAACCCTCTACCATGAAAGGAAAATCAACATAGAAAAAAAGCAAGCTGGAGATCAACTACAGAAAAGCTTCAAGGGAAATAGCAATATCTTCAGAGAGTTAAGAATAAGTATTACATCCATGAAATAACAAGATAAAAAAACTACATGCTAAGAATAAAAAGAATCTAGGAATTAAAAATATGACAAAAATACATAACTCAATAAAATAGTTTCAAGGTAAGGTTGAGGAAATCTCCCTGAAACTAGAGCAAAAAAATTGAAAGGCAGAAAAGAGATGAAAAAGGACCTGTTCAGGAGATCCAACAGACCAAGAACAGGAACTCAAGAAAGCATAGAAAATTCCACAAAATGTGGAAAAGGAAATAATTCAAAAAATCTCTAGAACTCAAGAACATAATTTGCCAGGTTATATCCATTCAGGGTCTAAAACAGTACATGAAAATAAACTCAAATTTTAGTTGACATATAGTGTAATACCGGTTTCAGGAGTAGAATTTGGTGATTCATCACTTAGCATATGATCCCCAGTTGATCACAAGTGCCCTCCTTAATACACATCACCCATTTTGCCCATCCCCCACTTACCCTCCAGCAACCCTGTTTGTTCTTTACAATTGAGAGTCTCCTTAATGGTTTGCCCCGTTTTTTTTTTTCTATTGCCTATGTTCATCTGTTTTGCTTCTTGAAATCCACAGATGAGTGAAATCATATGGTATTTGCCTTTCCCTAACTGACCTATTTTGCTTAGCATAAAACCCTCTAGCTCCATCCACTTGGTGGATGCACCAGTTTGCATTACCACCAACAGTATGAAAGATTCCCCTTTCGGGAACTCTCCTACACTGTTGGTGGGAATGCAAGCTGGTGCAGCCACTCTGGAAAACAGTATGGAGGCTCTTCAAAAAGTTGAAAATAGAGCTACCATATGATCCAGCAATTGCACTACTGGGTATTTACCTCAAAGATACAAATGTAGTGATCGGAAGGGGTACGTGCACCCCGATGTTTATAGCAGCAATGTCCACAATAGCCAAACTATGGAAAGAGCCAAGATGTCCAATGACACATGAATGGATAAAGAAGATGTGGTATATATATACAATGGAATATTATGCAGCCATCAAAAGGAATGAGATCTTGCCATTTGCAACAACGTGGATGGAACTGGAGGGTGTTATGCTGAGTGAAATAAGTTAATCAGAGAAAGACATGTATCATATGACCTCCTTGATATGAGGAATTCTTAATCTCAGGAAACAAACTGAGGGTTGCTGGAGTGGTGGGGGGGGGGCGGGATGGGGTGGCTGGGGAGGGTATGTGCTATGGTGAGCGCTGTGAATTGTGCAAGACCGTTGAATCACAGATCTGTACCTCTGCAATAATACAATATATGTTAAAAAAAAAAAAAAGAAGAAGAAGATGATAGCAGGAGGGGAAGAATGAAGGAGGGGAAATTGGAGGGGGAGATGAACCATGAGAGACGATGGACTCTGAAAAACAAATTGAGGGTTCTGGAGGGGAGAGGGGTGGGAGGATGGGTTAGCCTGGTGATGGGTATTAAAGAGGGCACGTTCTGCATGGAGCACTGGGTGTTATACACAAACAATGAATCACAGAACACTACATCAAAAACTAATGTATGGTGATTAACATAACAATAAAAAAATTTTAAAAAAAGATTCCCCTTTCTCCATATCCTCCCCAACATCTGTTGTTTCCTGTGTTAATTTTACCCATTTGGACAGGTGTGAGGTGGTCTCTCATTGCAGTTTTGATGTTTATTTCCCTGATGATGGGTGATGTTGAGCATCTTCTGTCTGTTAGCCATCTGGATGTCTTCTTTGGAAAAGTGTCGATTCATGTCTTCTGCCCATTTCTTACCTGGATTATTTGTTTTCTGGGTATTGAGTTTGATAAGTTCTTTATAGATTTTGGATACTAACCCTTTATCAGATACGTCATTTGCAAATATCTTTTCCCATTCCAAAGGTTACCTTTTACATTTGTTCATTGTTTCCTTCACTGATTCAATTTCATTACATCCTTCTGTTCAGATTTTCTACATCTTCCTGATTCAATTTTGGAAGATTTATGTTTCTAGGAATTTATCCATTTCCTATGTTGTCCAATTTGTTGGTATATAATATTTTATAATAGTTTCTTATAATCCTTTGTATTTTTGTGATGTCAGTTGTTATTACTTCTTACCCCGATTTTGAGCCTCTCTTTTTATCTTAATGAGTCTAGCTAAAGGCTTACCAATTCTCCTTATCTTTTCAAAGAAACATCTCTTGGTTTCATTGTTTTATATATAGATATTTGTCTCTATTTCATTTATCTCTACTCTGATCTTTATTGTTTCCTTCCTTCTACTAACCTGGGGCTTTGTTTTTCTAGTTCCTTTAGGTATAAGGTTAGATTTTCTGAGATGTTTCTTGGTTCTTGAAGTAAGCCTGTATAAACTATAAAATTCCCTCTTAGACCCGATTTTTCTGCATCCCAAAGATTTTACACCATTGTATTTTCATTTTCATATGTCTTTATAACGTCCTCTTTGATTTCTTTGCCCGTTGGTCAGTAGCATATTGTTTAGCCTTCCAAGTGTTTGTATCTTTTCAAATTTTTTCTTGTAATTGATTTCTGGTTTCACACTGTTGTGATCAGAAAAGATGTTTGATATGATTTATTGAGATTTATTTTTTGGCCTAACGTATGATCTAACCTAGAGAATGTTCCACTTGAAAAGAATGTGCATTCTGTTAGAAAAATAAATGTTCTATTTATGTCTGTTAAGTCCTTCTGATCTAATGTCTCATTCAAAGCCACTGTTTCCTTATTGATTTTCTGACTGGTTGATCTATCTGTTGATGTAAGTGGGGTATTAAAGTGCCCTACTATTGTTGTATTACTGTCAATTTCTCCCTTTATGTCTGTTAATATTTGCTTTATGTGTTTAGATGCTTCTATGTTGGGTGCATAAATATTTACAATTTTATATCCTCTTGTTGGATTGATCCCATTATCATTATGTAATGCCCTTGTCTCTTGTTACAGTTTTTTTTTTTTTTTAAGATTTTATTTATTTGCGAGAGAGAGAATGAGAGACAGAGAGCATGAGAGGGAGGAGGGTCAGAGGGAGAAGCAGACTCCCTGCTGAGCAGGGAGCCCGATGCGGGACTCGATCCCGGGACTCCAGGATCATGACCTGAGCCGAAGGCAGTTGCTTAACCAACTGAGCCACCCAGGCGCTCCTCTTGTTACAGTTTTTGTTTAAAAGTCTATTTTGTCTGAAAAAAAAAGTCTATTTTGTCTGATATATTATTGCTACCGCAGCTTTTTTCATTTCCATTTGCATGAAATATTTTTTTTTCATCCCTTCACTTTCAGTCTGTATCTTTAGCTCTGAGCGTGTCTCCTGTAGGCAGCATATAGATGGGTATTGTTTTTTTTATTCATTCAGTCATCCTAAGTCTTTTGATTAAAGCATTTAGACCATTTGCATTTAAAGTAATTATTCCTACATATGTACTTATTGTCATTTTGTTCATTGTTTTCTGGTTGTTTTGTAGTTCTTCTGTCCTCCTTTCTCCTTCTCTTGCTCTCTTCCCTTGTGATTGATGACTTTCTTTAGTGTTATGATTCCTTTCTCTTTATTTTTTGTGTATCTATTATAGGTTTTTATGGTTACCATGAAATTCATATATAACATCGTAAGTACATAGGAGTCTATATTAAGTTGATGGTCACTTAAGTTTGAACACATTCTAAACAAACTACACGTTTACTCCCTTGTTTCATGAACAGAAAGGAGACCAGTCTGGCTGGAATGCAATAATTCAGGAAGATTATCATAGAAAATAAATTTCATAAGGTAAGAGGGCAGGGGAATCATGTAAATCTTTTTAAGCCATCATAAGGATTTGGGGTTTTATTCTGAAAAAAGTGAGGAGCCACTGGAGGACTTTGAACCAAAAAGAAACATGATCTAGCTTACATTTTAGAAGGATTATTCTGGCTGCTTTATGGAGAACAGACTATGTTGCAGGAGTACTGAGTTTAAATGGAAACAGGGAGACCATTTAGGAAGATATTGTATTAATCTGCAAAAAACCAGAATGGTAGCTTAGCTCAAGGTGGAGAAGGAAATAAATGGTTGAATTCTGATGGTAGAGTAAATAGGATTTATTCTGATGGTAGAGTAATTATGATTTTCTGTAGGATTAGAGGTAAAGTGTGAGAGAAAATTGTTGAGAATTACTCCCAAGGATTTTCAATCTGATCAGCTTTGACAGAGATAAGATCATGTGTGGAATAGGTTTTGGAGATACCGTAAGTAGTTCATTTTTGTATGTGTTGTTTGAGTTGTTTGTCAAACATCCAAATGGAAATGCTGCATCCATAGTAGTATATTCTAGCCTGGAACTCATGGCAAAGGTTTAGGATAAGCATGTGAATTTGGGAGTCATCAACTGACCACACAGAATGGTATGGGGATTAAAGGAAGATGGACATCACATATACAAGGGTGGAGCCCTGGGGCCCATTGATATTATGAAGCCAAGGAGAATGGTGGGACCCACAAAGGAGCCTGGAAAGGAATGACCCATGATGTTAAGAGAAAAAACAGGAGAATGTGGTACCTGGAAGTCAAGTGAGGAGAGTGTTTTCAGGAGGAGGAAGAGCTCAGATATGCTGAATGTAGCAGGTCAGCTAAGGAAAATGAGTAGGTTAAGGCCATTTAGAGTAGATTTCAGAGCAAATGGGAGGAGAGAAATTGGTGACAGTGAGTACAATTCTGTGAGGAAATTTACTATAAATGAGAGCAGAGAAAGAGGAGAAACTGTCAAAGATTATTATGCTTGTGTTTATGTTATTTTTCCCATCTTAAAAACAACATATTTGTGTACGCATGAGAATGATTCAATGTAGCAGGGAAAATTAAAGATGGAGGAAAGTAGGGAGAATCTGAGTGCAAGATTCTAAGTAAATTAGGAGGAATGGGTTCTGGTATGCAGGGGAGATGGTTAGCCTTAGATAGGATTAGAGACAACTCATATTTTATATTGGGAAGGAAGGAAAAGTATGAGGGTTCAGATGTTACAAGGTTTGGAACTTGTGGCAGTTCCCTTCTGAATGATTCAATGTTCTCACTGAGGCAGGAAGCAGTCATTATTTGACAGAGAAGATGGGAAAGGACATGATGATGGTTTGAAGAGAAAGGAGAAAATATGAAACATATTTGGAAGCGATTATTTGGTTGACTGTCACTGGCTAATGCTATTAAGAGAGGGTTATTTTTTTTTACATTTTTATTTGCATATTCCATTTTCTCTATATTAAACACGTATGTCTTATACAACACAGAGGTATTTTTTTAAAACTTTTTCTGAGAAATGTAATCCATAATCTCAGGGAAAACAAATCCTTTTAGTAATTTCATTTAGCTAAAGAAATGGAGACAGATTACCTGATTAATGGCTCCCAGCATCTCGGCCCTACTGGCCACTCGTGCAGTGCACTGACTAAGAAATATTATACTCTTCTCCAGCTTCTTAACAATTTCCTGGGCATGGTTGTCATCCTCACAAAGTGGTGTTAAAGACTGCACAGAAAGCAAAGTATTAAAATATATCCAACCCAAGTATTCAGCAAGTGATTCTAACAATGACTATGTTGTAAATACAGATGACAGTCATATCTCCATTATCTTGGTATAAAGTGAAAAGCAGCAACAAAGACCAATAATGAACGATAATGAAATATTAATATCTTTGTTGGCTATCAGACCTATGCGAATGTTCACAAAACCTTTTATATCTAATCTCAATCTCTTCCTTCCATACTTCCTGAATTTGCCATTTCTTCATACACATTTATATCACTTTCCACAATTAACAGAATGGGATATACTTAATGGTAAAGAAATTATGCTTATGAATGAGTTGCATGTATTATATGAGGAGCATGGTTTGAACTTTTTTTTTTTTTTAAGATTTTATTTATTTGAGAGAGAGAGAGAGAGAGAGCAGAAGGAGAGGGAGAGGGAGAGGGAGAAGCAGACTCCCAGCTGAGCCGAGAGCCCGACGTGGGGCTCGATCCCAGGACCCTGAGATCATGACCTGAGCTGCAGGCAGACGTTCAACTGACTAAGCCACCCAGGCACCCCAGTTTGAACTTTTAATAAAAGTAGTGAAAACATACTAGACTTAGATATGGCTCTGACTACGCTACTTGCTCTTCCATTGATGACAAAGTATTATTGAGCTGGCTAGATGGGTATGCCTTCACTGCCTTATGAATATTTCTTTCAAACCTGTGTCTTTGATCCACAATGATGGCCTTCCTGATGGAGAACCATCCATCCCACTAGGGTGGAGACAGAATTAAGAGGACAGCAGTTTTGGAAGCAAACAAGCCACTGCTTATTAGCTGTGTGACCATGAGCAAATTTCTAAGACTTGCCCAAGTCTAAAACACCATAAATTTTGTATATCATTTAAAAGAGGAAAAGTAGGGGTTCCTGGGTGGCATAGTCAGTTAAGCATCTAACTCTTGGTTTCAGCTCAGGTCGTGATCTCAGGGTTCTGAGGTTGCTCAGTGCAGACAAATGCTGTATGATTTTACTTATATGAGGTATCTGAAGTAGTCAGATTCATAGAAATAGAAAGTAAAATGGTGACCGGGGGCTGAATGGAGGAGAAAAGGGGGCTTGTTTAATGGGTACAGAGTTTCAGTATGCAAGATGGAAAAGTCCCAGAGATCTGTTTTACAACAACGTGAACATACTTAACACTACTGAACTGTACACTTAAGATGGTTAATATGGTAAATTAGATGTTATGTGTTTTTTACGACAATAAAAAAAAAAGAATATGGTTTCTCAAGTTTTATTTTTTTTTCCAAAAATAACCCTCTTAATTTTCCAACCCATCTTTATATTTATGGAGATTTCACGAAATGGAAAAATAGTAGTTGTTACCTATGTACCTAGAGAGGGCTTGCCCATCACCTGAGAAGACTAAAATCAATCACCATTCTCTTTTTTCAGTTAATTAAATGGAAATAGTCTTTTGATTCTCTTCTTTGAAGCTTAAAATTGATATTATTTCCTATTGCTCAGTTTCCTGAATGATGACTCTTCTGCCTGAAACCTATTTGAATGTCCAGAGAAGGCAGGTGACTCACAATGCCTTCAAAAGGCATTTGTTTTATTAGTGAATCTTTTATTTTAGCCTGATCCTGAATTCTTACTTCCTATTAATTTACATTTGAGTCAGGCAGGGCTTGGTACCTCGTGTTGGTTTTAGTCACACAAGTAAACTTGTATCTAATTTTGAAAACATTATTAACAATATGATCATCAAATGTGTAGTTCCCAGCTGTTAGGATTCTCACCTCTAACAGCTTTAAACAGTTAGTGATTTCTTTCTTCAAATTTTCTTCTGCCAAGTCTCGTGATCTTTCTTCAAGCTTCACTCTTTTCTCCAAGGTGAACCAGTCACACTTAAATCCCAAAGATAATCTGAGAAATTCAGCCTGTTGTCAAAATAATGTGTGGGTGAGGGGGAGAAAATTGGTCGTAGTGAAATATTTCAGTTTAATACCAGATTATGCTGAGTGATTTCTTTTTCCTCCCAGCAACATAATGCTGGCATGCATCAGCTTTACCTGTACTTAGTCGCTGCCAAGCCAGCCAGACACCAAACATACCCACAGCTTGTGCAAAAGTATGAAGTGATGATAGACAAGGGAATCAGAAACACTTTTTTTTTAACTTAAAGGGAAAAAACTCACCTCCACCTCCTTCTCATTAGCAGACGTGCTGTAGGATAAGACAAAAAAATTTATTCCAACATAATTCAGCAGAAAAGCAAGAACTGTGAGCATGCCATGTGAAGAACTTACCTTTCACTTTGTCTAAAGTTAACGGATTTCACAGTGGTTACAGGACAGGAGGAAAGAGCAGTGTCTATTAAAAGACAATAAAATAGTATTGGGTTACAAAGGTTCCGAACTGAAGGCACATTTGATCAAATGCCCTCTCTCCACTACACAAAGGCACTTCATTGAAGTATGTCTGAAATAATAGCCAGTTAATAATAGCATTTGCTTCGGAGCGCCTGGGTGGCTCAGTCAGTTAAGCGTCTGCCTTCAGCTCTGGTCATGATCCCAGGGTCCTGGGATCGAGCCCCGCATCGGGATCCCTGCTCCGTGGGAAGCCTAATTCTCCCTCTCCCGCTCCTCCTGCTTGTGTTCCCTCTCTTGCTGTGTCTATGTCAAATAAATAAATTAAAAAGAAAAAAAAAGAATTTTACAGTGCAGGGGCACCTGGGTGGCTCAGTCGTTAAGCGTCTGCCTTCGGCTCAGGTCATGATCCCAGGGTCCTGAGATCGAGCCCCGCATCAGGCTCCCTGCGTGTGCTGTCTCTCTGGCTCTTTCTCAAATAAATAAATAAAATCTTAAAAAAATAATAATGCATTTGCTTCAATAGAAGATAATGTTACGCTATGCTATTGGGATCACAGTGACATTAAAATCATTGGCTCACATGTCAGCATGTGAATAGTCTGAAAGCTGAAGAAAACTCAAAGTCCAGGAAGAACCCAATCGCTCTCTTTGCATTTGAATGTTTATTTACCTTGATCCCAGGGCTAAATGCATACCTTCCTCCGTTCCCCTAGTCCTTCTTCAGACCAAGGCTTTAATGGCAGTCCCAGGAGGAGGAGGGGTCATTGCAGTTACAGTAGTAAGAGTAATAGTAATAGTACAGTGTAATAACAGCAACAGTAAACATGGTATCACTCATTTGTCACAAGTTTACTATATGCCAGTCCCCAAACAGGGCTCTTTATACATATCAATGATACTCTTCGTGAAAATTTCACAAACAGGACAATATATTAGTTATTAAGAATATTAGAGTTGAAAAAACCTGGTTTAAGTCCTAGCTTTGACCCTTATAGCTTTGTGACCTGGAACAAGTCACAACTTCATCAAACCATCTACAAAATAAGGATGATATTATTTTTCTATGGTAGCTTTTAGAGAACTTTGCCAAGCATTCTTCTAACTGCTTTATACCTAATTTGTTCAATCCTCAGAGTAAACCTGTGGTAAGTACTGGTATCATCTACAGTCCATGGGTTAGGAAACTGAATTGCAATTTACCTATCACACATAGGTATTTGGGGGAACTGAATGAAACTATACACATAACTTAGTCTAGGGGCGCCTGGGTGGCTCAGCGGTTAAGCATCTGCCTTCCGCTCAGGTCATGGTCCCAGGGTCCTGGGATCAAGCCCCTCGTCGGGTTCCCTGCTCAGTGGGGAGCCTGCTTCTCCCTCTACCACTCCCCCTGCTTGTGTTCCTTCTCTGTGTGTGTCAAATGAATAAATAAAATCTTAAAAAAAAAAAGAACTTAGTCTAGAACTTAGCATATGATGTATTATCAATAAAGGTTAATTTTTTTAACTCATTTCCGTTTTGCAGATGAGGAAGTTGACAGGTTAAATAAACTTCTGAAGTCAAAGCTAGTCAGAGAGTCACCCAATATAGTCTGTGTGACTTCCAAGTCTCAACTCTATCCATTACTCCATCCTAGTGGAGGTGAAATGGGGAGGGAAGTATATTAGCACTTATTCTTTAAGTACTATCTTATTTACTTTTGGACAGGATAATAAAAAAAAATCTCAAAGTAGAGCTTGAATTTACTACCAACATTGGCATGGTTCTTTGTTCACAATAACGTAGTAGTTATTACAAGTCCTTTGGGGCTTAATAGTTAATGCAACATAAATGTGGTTTTTCAAAAATGATACAAATTGAATCAATAATCAGTTTTATTGGCTGATTTTAGCTAGAGATGCATAATTATAGGTACCATATCTTTACTCAGAAAGATTTCACCCATAAAAATATAAGCAGGAACAAAAGTTCACATGGGAGTTGGAAGAGAACATTCCTTACCTCCTGCAGCACATTCTTTTCTATGCTCACCTATTGTTTCTGGTTCTTCTTTTGCTTCCTAAAATCATAAAGAGATTTTATTGCTGTACATAGAGTGGAAATCCTTCATAACCAGTCATTTCCCAACTTCCTGTCCTCTCCTAACCCTACTCTATCAAAAACACTGTGGTATTCAAAGAACTGAACTAGAGGTTAAAAAGAAAACAGGAGGTTTTCTTTTTCAACCCATTAGATTGGAAAGGGGGTTTCCAATCTAGTTGAGGTACAAAAGACAGAAACATATGAACAGCTATAAATGTGATACAAGTTACCATAAGGCAAACCAGGATTGATTGCCAAATAAATGAGATGTGAATAAATAAGTGCTCTACAAAGGGAGGGGAGAGACACCATGGCTTGAGAAGCATGGAAAGTCTTTACAGACAAGGAACATGCTGGAGCTTGATGGAGTGGGAGGACTGGATAGATAAAGAGGTAGGGGTGATCTAGGATATCACATGTAGCTTTCTAGATGGGCTCTGGGGGAACTTGTGGCAAAAATTGCAGGTAGGACTATGTTATGTTAGGCTTTTACTCCATATAAATACATTTTAAGGTCACTGATCAACTATCTTACAAATATATCTATACAACAAGAATTACCAATGGTAAGAGGGTTGTACTATACTGCCTGAGAAAAATCTAATGAGAAAGCAATAGGTATAAAATTTTATGGTGATAATTATTCAACATTCTCAGAAATTTTCCCTGAAAAATAAAGTCCAGGACAAATTTCCTAGGTAGAGCCATTGATACTATGTCATGTAATTTTTAGAGAATTGAAGCTAAGATTTTGATAAAATGTAACAAATGCAATAATACAGGTAAAGCACTGGATCATTCTTATCAACATTTAAATATTCTTAAGTTTTCTGAATCCTCCCTCAACCCCATGACCTCTTCTAGATACGGCATCTTCTTCCAATCCTATCCGTTATGGTCATGCTTCTTCTGGGGAGAATTGTCCATAATTGCTGTTTCCAGTTTTTCAGCTCTCTTCTGTCTCTGTACCTAATACTCCAAGAAAACCTCCCTCCCCAGTTATCAGTGAACTCTCTATTGCCAAATTCAATGGAAAAATTCCAGTCTTTATCTTATTTGGCTTCACTGTAGCATCTAAAATGATCTATAGTCCTCTCCTCCTTGAAGATTTTTCTTTCTTTGGTTTTCATCTCCTGATGTCCTCCCATTGCTATAGTAGCTCCTTCTGAGTTTCCTCTGCCATTGCCTTCTTTTGTTAGATAATGGAATCAACAAGAGTCCATTATTCTCAGTGCTCTCTTCCTGCCTGCCAGAGTCCTTGGGAAATCTTATTCACATACTTGGTTTTTTGCTGATAGCTCACAAATGTGTGTCTGCTCCTAAAAGTCCTAGGAATTAGTTTATGAATATAGGTATGCAGCTGTGTATATAATCTTTCAGAGTACTGATGTCTCATATCAACCTGAAACTTGACTTAAATTAATCTTATTTTACCCCCAAATTCTTCTTACTTCCTCCCTATTCTCATAATAGTCTATTCATTCGGTAGGATAAGCCATAAGCCTAAGTTTTTACGTTTTCCCATGCATCCCCAACCCCCATCCTGGTTATCAGTCACCATGTACCATAAATTCTGTCCCTTAAATCTCTCCCAAATTACTCCTCTCTTCTCCATCCACACTAAATTCATACTATCTTCATCTCTTGCCTGAATTGTTACAATAATATCCTAACCAGTACCCCATCTCCATTACTATGTTTTCTAACCAATTATTTTTAAGTTTATTTCTATCTTGTTTTGAGATGAGAAAAAATTCTTTTTCTCGGAAGACTACCGTGAAAGATTAGAGAACTCAAATATTCCTCTATTTTTTATAAGGAGCAACCACTTTCAACATGCTTGTTAGCTAACACTGCACTCTCTATATACTTTACACTACAAAGGACGATTCCAAATCACATACCCAATCATTCCACTCCGCTCAGACTAGAATACTATAAAATTTTTGTCTACCCTATTGCCTCAAATATATCTATGCCACAACCATCTCTTAACTTGAGTTAGCTTTCATGAGTCTCTGTTTCTTAAAACCAAATGGGCCTAACTAAAGCAATATTTATATACTGAGGGGAAAACAATACACACACACACACATACACACACACACACTGCTAATAATAATAATAATAATAATCTCTTTTAACAGAGAGGGACTAATATATAAACAAGACCCTTGAAGAAACATGGAATGGGATCCATAGTCTACAAGTTACTCCTCAAGAATTATAAATTCATACCAGTGACAATGAACCTTCTCTTTAGGGAAAGGAACTTAACTCTTTCTATAAACATTTAAATAATGTTTTATAGCAGTGTTCCAGGTGCCTGGATAGCATTTGATACCATTTACAAAGTACCTCCTCCATGACACTTGTCTGGCCTCTTAACCCAAACATTTTTCTTTTATATCCCTAGCCACACTGAGTAATTATATATTACTGAGTAACTGTATGTTTCTTCCCTTAATTAGAACATGTTCTCTTAGTTAGAACATATCTTTAAGGTAAATATTACTGTTTTATTTAACCTTATTTATTAATACATTTGTTTACTTAAAAGTCCTCTATTGATAGATATTGAGCTTGTTTACAGTAGATCTTTGATGAATATGAGTGAATGAATGGACAAAAAAACAATGTGGAGTCAGAAGGTCCTAGCTCTGACTCTATTGTGTGACTTTGAACAAGTCACAAGGACTCTTTGGCATCTACTTCCTCATCTATAAGACACTGGAGTAACTTCATAATATTACTTTCTCTATACATTCTATTAACTTCATAATATTTTGAGAGGATGAGACAGTGCTTTTAAGAGTATTTTGCAAACTTAAAGGGACAGTTATACCACTGTAATATATCATTACCTTTACTGTTAACATATGTATATTTCCTTACCAGATTTAACATGGTTTTGTCCTCACTCACAGAGCCTTGGAGTACGATATTCTCAGGAGCTGGACTTCGGCCTATGAGAAAAAGGGAACACACCAAATAGTTGCCTGAGCAGTAACAAGTAAGAGAGGAAGAAATAGTGAGGGTGGCAATATGAGCAGACTAGTAAGTGTCAAAGACCTTAACAAGTGAGTCAAATTATACATCAAAAAACTTTAAATGTGCCCATTGATTAAAAATCAGGACTAGAGCAGGTAAGTCTCCCAAGGAAGCTAGCCATATAAGATTTCTTAATAGAAATGAGTATCTGTATAAATGCCCTTCAAGTAATAGTTTTAAAATCTTTATTAAGGCTGCTGCCTTTTTTTTAATCAAACACATTACTACTAAATTTACAGAAACTGGATGAAGGAAGAATGAACAATCAGCTTGACAAACAGGGTTTTTTTAATTAGAGATGTAAGACTGATAACCAAGTTTGATATCCTTTCAAAACATGGTATCTTTCTAAAAAAAAAAAAGTCATCAAACTAAGAAACAAAAGTACTTTTTTTTTTTAAAGATTTTATTTATTTATTTGACAGAGAGAGACACAGCGAGAGAGGGAACACAAGCAGGGGGAGTGGGAGAGGGAGAAGCAGGCTTCCCGCCGATCAGGGAGCCTGATGCGGGGCGAAACAAAAGTACTTTTAATTTATGCCATTCCTCTTGGTAATTTCCCTTTATTTTTGTGTACTTTATTTGTACCAAAATGTACTTGATAATGATTTTCCTCTTTACATGGTCCATTGTCTTGAATTTAGTTCAGTGCAGGCACAAAGGTCAGCAGCTATAAATAGGTTTTGTTTCTTTTTAAGAAAAAAATAAAGTATGTATTATGTTTTTAAAATGTATATGGAAATAAGAACAAAATGGTAACCACTTTCTTCAGAGATAAAATGTCTTTTCCCAATGAAAATTTTAATTTTTTTGTTAACTTTTAAGACAGATAATAGATTCATATGGTCCATAAATTTTAAAGTGTAAAATATTTTTTGGTAGAAATTTTCCCTCCCATACATGCCTATAAGAAATTTACTTTTCCTCCCCACAGACGATGTTATTTTATTTTTGTCTAGCCTTTCAGAGATATATTATGCATACATAAAAACTTCTTCCTATCCTTTTTATTCTCCCACAGAATTTTATATGCAATACATAATGTTTTGTATTTGGGTTTTTTTAAGAGACAATAATGCTTTGATATCCTTCTAAGAAAGTTTCCTTATATACATTTTATGGATGTATATTAGTATTCCATTACATGGAGATGCCAATATATATTATCTAGGCTTCTTTTTATAATTAACTTGTCTTCAATATTTTGTTATTATAGAAAATACTGTAGTAAAGAAACTTCTACAAGTCATGTGAGTACTAAGATCTATAGGATAAATTCCCAGAAGCTAAATTGTTTTATCACAGGATATGTATATTTAACATTTTGGTGAATATTGGCAAATTCCCCTCCATATTAATTATAATAATTTACATTCCCTACAGAAACTTATGAGATTTCTTTTTTTCTCCTACAAGCTAACCAACAGAGTGTAATCAAAATTTTGCATCTTTGTCTACATGACTGGTGAAAAATGATATCTTGGTGTAGTTCTAATTAAAATTTCTCTTATTCAGACTGAGGTAAAGTATGAAGATATTCTTCCGTTAAAATAAAGAATGGATTCCATTTCTACAATTTTACAACTCCTTTAGTTTAGCATCTATATCTCAACTTAACTGTTCAGTTTAAACAATAGAATGAATTTTCCTTGACTGATTTTTTTTTTTTTTTGGTGGGAACGGGAGCCTATGTGCTTCCCGTGAGTGTCAGCTGTAGTGATGTCTCACTGGGAATGGTTGAGAATAACTACCTTGTTTTCAGACTCAAGTAGCAAAAAAAAGATGTAACATATTATCTGTTAATTCTTTTGCCTCCTGATTGGACCATCACGAATTGGTCCATCCTTTTAAACAAACAGATTCTAATTAGGATTCTGAGAATTATTTTTTTTAAGAGAAAGCATGAGCATGGGCACAAGCGGAAGGGCAGAAAGGCGGAGGGAGTGGAGGAAAGGAGAGAGAAAATCTTAAGCAGGCTCCATGCTTAGGGCGGAACCTGATGCAGGGCTTGATCTCACAACCCTGAGATCATTTCCTGAGACAAAATCAAGAGCCGGACACTTAACCCACTGAGACACCCAGGCACCCCAAGATTCTGAGAATTTCCCAAGCAGGTGATTCTACATCTATGCCACAGTTGAGACCCAGTTGTATCCAGTCAATCTTTGCCATTAGGAAATATTTAAGTCCTATTAAAATATATTGTAATTTTTGTTCTTTCCATAGAACTGGGGGAAAAAATGGCAACATTATCATATATGAAGGCCATGATTACCTCTTGGACTTCTTTTCCCCAGACTATATCTTCAAGCTTTTTTTAATAAAATAATATTACTGAACTATGAGGACAGTTGCTCCAGTAGCTTACAGGTTTGCTTACTGCTTTGGAATGGAAACTATATTTGAATACTTCAATAGCTTACCTGTGATCTTTATCATAGCAGAAGCTGATCTTGTATCTCCCTCTTTCTCACAGAGTGATTTACAGTCCGGGTCACCAGAAGCCATATTCAAAATTTCTGACCCAGAATCTATCAACAGGAAGAAACTAACAGCATGAACACTATGCAAAAAAAATTATTTGCCTATGTTCTTTTCATTTGCACTCACCTCAGCAGGCCACAGAAACCAAGCTTATAGTTATAATACTAATCCTCTATTTTTATATATTTTCCAAGTTCACTCACCACTTGAAGTTACAGTACTCTCTGTGGATGAAGTGTGTCCAGGAGATGATAGTGTGGAACATTCCCTGTCAAGAGAGTAGAGGAAATATTTTGGAGTGTCAGGTCCAAAGAGTTCCTTAAAAATTAACCAAATATACATTCAAATTCATATACACAAACAAACAAACAAACCTAGACTGTGGCAGGCTCTCAGAATACAAGCAGTCAACACCATTCTCCTAAAGAAAAAAAAAAAAAAGGAAAAACAAGTTCAACAATTTGACATTTTCCATTCCAGAGAGGTTGTTTTAAGCAAACATTTTCACACAATTTTAAATGAACCCATATTTACTTTGCTCTTTTAGAGAGGATATGGGACTGGGATTCTATAGGGCAGATTGACAAACATACTTTCTCCAAGTTGTACTTGCAAAAAAAAACCAATTTTAAATATACTTACAAGTCCAATATTTGAAGAATACCTAATAAATTCTTGGGCAAAACAAATTCTAAACTTAAAGGGCAGATAGAGTTTATTTCATGAACTTAAGTCAAGTTGTCTTTAAACAGAACATTCTATGTGGGCATAACACAACATTTCTATTTATGGAAATATTATTCAACCTAAAACTTTTGACCTGGTGATTTAAAAATGCTTTTCAATTTTCTAGCTAGACAAATAATACCTTTTAAACTTAATCCCATTCTCAAAGATCTGAGGGATTATATCTACGTCAGCACCTATTACTTGGTGCTCAAACAGAGCTTAACAAAACTGTGGTCCCAGCCTGCCAGGGCAAGTGTTTGAAAGTTTTATTTGAACTTCTTAATCTTGATCAGGAGTTCCTAATTTAGGGGGAACTTTAGGACATTAGGGTTGATTAGCTCACTTACTCTCAAATAATACAGCAGGAACATGGGTTACTCTTTAATAATATGTTTTTCTAATACATATATTTTCATTATTATTTGGTTTACGTAGGAATTAAATTTAATATTGAAAATTGAAGCCAATTGAACATATCAAAAACCTGCACAAACAATGAAAAGATGAAGACATTTACGTGTTCTATAATCAAGGAGAAAACATATTAACAGCCACGGCCTAACAAAAGGTTTCAATGGAGGGACATTGTAGATCACAAACAGTATTTAGAATCTACCCCAGACAATATTGACTTTTGTCATAGAAAGGTATGGGTTTAGTAACAGTTTGCAGAATACATAGTTATGCAATATAATGACAGCACTTAAAATGTACAGAAGCCCTTTTATATATCATCCCATTTAATTCTCCCAACAACCTTAGGAAGTGGGTTTTAACAAGAAAATATTTACTTATTTCAGGTAAAGAAAGTAAAGCCAGTGAATAAACTAATATCCCGGGAGTATTCTGAATAGTGGTGTCAGCCTTCAAACCCAGTTCGAACTAAATACAGTGTCCTCTCCACTATAAACAGAACTGTCTCTGAGATACCCTAACCCAGGCTGTTGGTGAGGCACAGACTTCCCAATTACTGTCTTACACACTGGTAGATGATTTAAACATAAACGTTTAAAATGTTCATCTCAAATGTTTAGAAGAATTCACAAACTTGCAAAGCAAGAATTTATACCTAATCTTCCTACATATCAATGTTAGGCAATCTTCTCTGTTTTATTTTGTCTCTGCTTTAAATGCCTTTGGGTCAGACCATGTGTGCTTGAAGCCCGTCATGACATCAGCTTGATTTTATTGAACAACTTTCATCAAAGGCCCACTTTGTCCCAGGAGCAGTGACAGAAGCTGAAGACACACAAAACTACAGTCCTTGTCCCAGAGGAGTTTGTAGGCCAGTCAGGAAGACAAATAAAAAAACAAATAAAAAATTATAGGCAGCATTCCACAGAGGAAAGTAATATGCACAAAACAGAGTAGGGTAATATTTGAATTACATTTTGAAGAGAAATTGTAACTTATAACTTACAGGTAAATGATGATAGCCCTATCATTAAAAGATTTAATAGAATGTATTAGTAATTATTATATGTTTATTTAACTATATTCCAATATATATGTAAGAAATGAAGCTATAAAAAAGGAAAATATTAAATATCCTTCAGTTTCATCAAGTATCATACTTCATAAAAGTCAACAAGGATTCATTCCTTAATAATAATTTAAAAATCAGGGCGCCTGGGTGGCTCAGTTGGTTAAGCGACTGCCTTCGGCTCAGGTCATGATCCTGGAGTCCTAGGATCGAGTCCCGCATCGGGCTCCCTGCTCAGCAGGGAGTCTGCTTCTCCCTCTGACCCTCCCCCCTCTCATGTGCTCTCTCTCTCTCTTTCTCATTCTCTCTCTCAAATAAATAAATAAAATCTTTAAAAAAAATAATAATAATTTAAAAATCAGGCCCACTTAATACCCCATAACATATAAAATTTTGATTATATATGGCTTGAAATGACACTTACTACTGTACTATAATTAATACATATATAATAGTAATATTGCACTAACTAAAGAGCTAATTTTGTCTGAAAAAGACTTTTTTTTAAAAAAGTCTCATTTAAAGTCAAAATAATACAGCAGAAATATAGTTTACCTCCATGATATTACAAATTAGTCTCATTTGCTGTAATGTTCTGTATAAGCCCTTCTGTTCAATACCTTATATATGAAACATTTTAGTGAGAAGCTTTTTGATAAATATAAAATATTTATGGATTAAATAAGTAATAATTCTGTAATTTTGGAGAAATGTCATATATTTAGTAGTCATACATTGCTATATTGTTCTGGAATAGTTGCGAGGTAAGCAATTGGATATTACTTCCAATTCATTAGTCTCTATAAATCCCACTGATCAGAAAACACCCCAATATACAACATATCTCAATCCCAGATTTTCATAAATTTGACCTAACAGCATTTTTCCCTTCTTACAAGTATAGCTAGACAAAAGAAGTTTTCTTTTTTCAAATTTAGAACTATAGTTAATGAAATTGTAAATATAACTCCTCAGGGTGTCTGTGCAGATGGAGTGGGGGTGGGAGATAACTCAGCAAAAATTTTCCACAATTGTGTTCTTTTTTCCCCCAGCATCAAAAGTCCCCACTATTCAAACCAGCATCCTAGACCCATAAGAAAGCCTAACCCCCACACAACTATAAAGACCTGGGCAGATCATGAAAAAGATAACCTGCTGGCTATATTTTAAAACCAAGCAAATTTAAGAAATTGACTAAGAGCAAGAAAAAGAGAGTTCAGATGACAGACTTACTTACATGTAGAAGATTGGCTCAAGTCAATGAGTCTAACACATGTCGAGAGCACAGAGCAGGAAGAGTATTCTTCCTGTCCAAGCCACTCAAATATCAACCTGCATAACATTTACATGAAAATCTGTGGTCCAGCCCATTTGCTTTTGACAGCATCTGCTGTAGGGTGGGGTCGCCAAGGTACTCATGGAACAAAATGAGACATATTCTCGCATGGGCTGGGTCAGCAAACACAGGCCCCACATGCGTGTGTGCATGCACGCACGCACATACACACGTGCACACCAGTATTATTTCAATATTTAGGTAGAAAAAGTTAAAGAATAATAAGATATAGTTCTTAAGATATTAGTAAGTGTAATTATTGGCTTAGATAATTTCCCAGGGTCACGTTATTTTTGCTCTTTTAGATGAACTGTTTCTTCATCTGTAGATTTTATGAGCAGAAACCCTTCCACTATGCTACAATCACGTTACCAATGTAATTTTTGCTAATAGATCTATTGTAGATGATTGGTGCTACTCAAATAAATTAACAGGATTTTCTGAGGGAAAAAAACTGAAAAAAGCCCATATGGTCTTATTTCATTCTAACTTTAAAAAAAAAAAAAATGCCCTTGACTCAGTGCCGGTTTCCATGTTCTAAAAAGAGAAAGAATGTAAAATTGAATGCCTAAAGATCACAACTACTGTAACCTAAACAAAAGTAAATTTCCTCACAAGTTTTTTTTTTTTAATTTGTAACTAAAAGGACACCACACCCTCAGATCTACAGGACACACCCACCACTCTGAGGTTCATCTGTAGTGCAGTTATCAGTCAACTTCTACATGTCCCAATTTTGCAACTGGCAATGTTATTTATTCTCCAAGGTTATTAATGCTGCACCACACACAGCCTGAGAGAACAGGACAGACAATGGCCAGAAAATCTTTGAGATATTTCAAAATTGATTCTGTCCTTTGTCTCATAAACCACCTCCTCTTAGTGATAGTGTATCTTAGACAAAAACATGTAATAACATGAAGGACAGCTCAAAGGGATGGCAATACACTTAATTTTTTTTTTCAACAGCCAAAGTAAAAACAGAGAAATTCATTTTCGTATCTTCTGACTGTAACAAGGTATCTTTCTTCTTCTTCTTCTTCTTCTTTTTTTAAGTAGGCACCATGCCCACGTGGAGCCCAACATGGGGCTTGAACTCACCACCCTGAGATCAAGACCTGAACTAAGGTCAAGAGTTGGACACCCAACCAACTGAGCCACCAAGGCACCCCCACCCTTTCTTTTTTAATTGATGTGTAGTTGACATGCAATGTTATATTGGTTTCAGGTATAAAAGATAGTGATTTGACAAGTCTACACACTACATAATGCTCATAACAAGGTATCTTCTGAGCTTCACACTGCTGATCATTCTGATTCTGGGGGACAGTCACAGCTGCTATTTTTGGAGTGTTTACTAGGAATCAGGAACTTTGCATACACACTATAAAGTGTCTTGGTGGGGTCCGATCTGAGACTGAAATAGGTAGAGAGAAGAATCAGTTTCATGGACGTAGAATTTTCACGAAGCTCCTTAATTCTTGGAGTATTTGGGGATACACCCAGGCACGTAAGCACATGTCCAGTTTGGCACTTGGGCTGCTGTTCAGACTCCATGGTGGGAGAAGTGACTAAGGAGAAGAAGACAGATTGTCAGGAGAGATAGCTGGGCCCTGGAGAGAAACTGCCAAGAGTGAGGAAGAGTTGAGGAAGTCGGGCTAAACAGACCGTCAGGCCGAGCTCCTGAAGGGAGCCTCAATAGTGGAGGCAGCGGGAGGCTGCTACTTAGGACTACTGTGCCTCCCAGCCTTCTGGATTATTTATGTGCCTTGAAACTAACTGAGAGGATAATTTTAACAATCCCATCACAAGCAGTCCACCCAACACCACAGTAAGACCTCACTCTAAAGTCCTGAGACAAGAATGGAGAGTCCTCTCTCTACCAGCCAGGGAGAGAAGATCACTAGGTGATCAGACACAGAGCTCCAAGGAGGTCAGCATGGAGGGCCTGTGGGCAGTAGGGATCATGAACAAAGAGGACTGCAAAGATATGAGTGGTGAAACCAGCTTCTTTTCCCCACAATCTCTGGGGAGGTTAGGTGTCCTTTCCTGGGACCCACTAGTTGGTGGGGCCTGAAGGACATTAGGAGATAGCAGTGTATGCCCCTAGAGATGCTTGGAAATGTTGAGAAGGGACCGCATGGAGATGAAAGTTGTTCTTATTCAGCAGCAAGTGGTGAAACAGAATTAAGATTTGTCTTTTCTCTAAATAGGACCAACTTGGTTTGTTTTCATGGATTGATTAGGCTAGAACTTAGCTATTGCAGATATGCAGATATGTATATGCATACATGTATGTATTGTGTATTTGAAACCTCAAAAGAACCCTGAAAAGTTGTATCTGTTTCAAGGGGGGACACAGGCAAAGTCAGAGAAGTTAGGCTTGTCCAAGTTTACACCGCTAGCAAGTAACAGAGCCAGGTTTAATCCAGGCCTGCTTGATTCCAAAGTCTATGCTATGTGGCTAAAAATTCTAAGTCACGGGGTGCCTGGGTGGCTCAGTCGTTAAGCGTCTGCCTTCGGCTCAGGTCATGATCCCAGGGTACTAGGTTCGAGGCCTGCATCAGGCTCCCTGCTCAGCGGGAAGTGTGCTTCTCCCTCTCCCACTCCCTCTGCTTGTGTTCCCTCTCTCGCTGTGTCTCTCTCTGTCAAAAATAAATAAAATCTTTAAAAAATAAATAAATAAAAATTCTAAGTCATTATTGGAAAGATTTTTAAATAAATACAAAAGTAACAGAATAGAGTAAGTAACCTTTGTGTACCCATTCTGCAGATTCAGCTATTACCAACCTGTGGCCAATCTATTCTGTCACCCACTAAAAACACCCCTTCATTGTTTTGATGTAAATCCCAGATATCATAAACATTTCTTCCATAAATATCTCAGTCTGAATCTCTAAAAGACAAGGGTTGGAAATAATTTATATTCTTCTTTTCTCTCTACACTACAATATTCCAAATAAATGAATTTTCCAGGTCAATAAAGGAACTGTTTTCCTCAAGAATGTCCTGAACTGGGCCCCAAATTATTTTATTATGAGATGTTCTTCTTGAGACAATAATCTTATTAGAGTCCTTTGCTCACTCAAAAAGATCCTAAGAATACAGATGTTCACTTTTACCTCACCCTGTGCTTTCTAAAAAAAAAATGCTAGAATGCAGCTTCTTCAATGAATATGGGAGATGAATAAAAAATAAATCCCAAGTTCTCAGGAATACCAGTCCAAAGAAAAGAGGCAGAAAGCAATAGAGCAAGGTTGTCAACTCAACAATTTCACTGAGTGCTCAGTCTTGATGTTTTAAATAGGCCCTGTAGGGAGTACAAGAATAAGTAAATAGGCATTTAATGAGTATTAATGGGCAGCTACCATGCACCAAATTTACGCAGAGTGCTAGATGCATATTCATGAATGGTCAGACAGAGGCACTCTCCACCAAGCTTCTGATCTACTACAGAAATAAATATAAGAAAACAAAGAATTACAATGCAGTCAGAGCATACAGGTAACAACAAGGAGGACAAAGAGTTACTGGGGTCTAAAAGAAGGGAGTGTACTCATTTTTTCCTGAGTGGGACAGTTGAGAAATGAGGAAACAGGCCTGAAAGACATGACTTTTCTACAGTTACACAGAGGTAGAAACAGGGAAAAACCTCATCTCTCAACTTCTAATTATTCTGATTTCTACCTCTAGTCTAGAAGGACAGGAGATGCTTGACTGTAAACATTTCTTGCTACCACAAGAAAGGTTTTATGGAAGAGCTGGTTTTGAAATGGGCCTCAACAAATAGAACTTGAGAAATGGGGAAGTGCATGGTGTTCTGGGCAGAGAGAACAGTATAAGCAGTCTTTGGGGATATATTCCAATGATAAGTGCTACTCAGTTTCACTGACATGCAGGGACAACCATACGGCAATGGGAAAGGCTGGAAAAGTAGATTTGTGACCAGATTAGAGAGGGCCTTGAAGACCAAATCAAGTTGCTTGTTATGAAGGCGCTCAAGGATGACAAAAACCCTACAGTTTGAAGCCAAAGACTTAAGAAAACACTATAATTTATGGGTCACTGGAGTAAACACAGATTATGTTTTTTGTAATTTTTATCTCATATTTTATTCCAATTTCCTGCACTTGTTAATGAGAATGCTTAGAAAATGGCTTTCTAAGGAGAATTTTCTTTCTTTTTTTTTTTTTTTTTAAAGATTTTATTTATTTATTTGACAGAGAGAGACAGTGAGAGAGGGAACTCAAGCAGGGGGACTGGAAGAGGGAGAAGCAGGCCTCCCGCTGAGCAGGGAGCCCGATGCAGGGCTTGATCCCAGGACCCTGGGAACATGACCTGAGCCAAAGGCAGACACTTAATGACTGAGCCACCCAGGCGCCCCTAAGGAGAATTTTCTATTTGTTTAGAGATGGGTGTGGGGAGTCTGAGGGGTAGGAAGTGAGGTTCTACTCAAGGAATAGGCATGAAAGAGTGAATCATTCAGTGAACAGGCTGAAGAGATTCTTCAGTGGAACAGAAACCTGGAAAGGGAATGGTGAGAAGTGGTGATATCAGCCACCAAGTGCAGCCGACAGACTTGTTCCTGGGGACTCTAGAAGAAATGGTGCAGAAGACAGCATGATAACCTTCAGGGAGCGTGTCCATTTCCCCAGGGATGTTTGATAGGAGTTTCTATTATGGCCTGTTAGCTCCTGTTTCTCAATGGTGTCAAGACCATAGACAAAATCTATCACATATCCTAATGATAGTGCATTAGGAGATCCTTTTAGATAGCACATTCTTAGCCAAAAAACTACTTTCAAGGTAATTATGAGTATTTATTATGATTGAAAGGTCTACAATCGGTGTTCTAAGAGGGGCTGTGAGAAAGGCTTATCCTTTGAAGTTAGACAAACCTGAATTTGAATCCCATGTTTGTTAGTTACCAGTTGAGTGATCTTGGATAAGTTATTTAACCTCTCTGAACTTCAGTTGTCTCATCTGCAAGAGCAGACAATACCTACCACTCAAAGTCGTAGAGAAGATTAATAACGTGGTTTGTGGTAATGCTTTCCTATAAAGTACCTGGTACACAACTGATATTTGTTTCTTCCCCCTTGTTGGTGAAATCAGTGTCAGATAAAAGGGAAATTACTAATAACCAAACATCCTGTAAACTTCCAAGTCCAACTTCCTTTATTGAACTTTACAAGAACTGCTAAGTAATAGCAAAATAGATTCATTTCCTTTTTTTTTCCTTTTCTTAGCTACTCAATAGGATGGGTATTAAGGAACAGAAAAATGTCAGATACACACACTTAAGAGGAATAATAAGAGTAATTCATATAACTCAGTGGTAAAAAGAACCACATTTTTTAAAATGGGTAAAGAGCTGGGTAGATAAAGCTCCAGGGAAGATGTACAAGTGGCCAACAAGTACACAAAAAGATGTTCAACATCATTTGTCATTAGGGAAATACATACCCAAACCATCAAAATTACTTCACACCTGCTAAGATGGCAATAATAATAATAATAATAAAAAACCCCAGACAAATGTTGACAAGGATGTAGAGAAATTGGAATCCTCATACATTACTTGTGGGAATGTAAGATGGGGTAATCACTTTGAAAATCTGTTTTGCAGGTCCTCAAAATGTTAGAGTTCCCATATGATGTAGCAATTCCACTCCTAGGTGTATACCCCAAAGAATACTCATATGTGTATACAAAAACTTATACACTAACATTCATAGTAACAACATTCACATAGCCAAAAAATGGAAACAACCCAAGTGCCCAACAACTGATGAGTGGATACACAGAATGTGATATATTCATACACTGGAATACTATTCAGTCATAAAAAGGAATGAAGTATGGGGATAACACGCTACAACTTGGGTGAGCCATGAAAACACTATACTAAGTGAAAGAAGCCAGTCACAAGAGGTTACATATTGTATTATTCCACTTATATGAGATATCCAGACTAGGCAAATGTGTAAGAGACAGAAGATTAGTGATTGCCTAGGACTGAGGGTTTGGGGGTGAGGGGAGTAGGGACAGAGTGTTGATGGGCATGAGGTTTCTTTTTAGGATGATCAAAATGTTTTAAAACCAATTTTGATGATGGTTGTACAATTCTGTGAATTTATTTAAAAGCATTTAATTGAATCAATTGTTTAATATATGAACTATATCTCAATTAAGCAATGAAAGAAAAAGGAAGAATGATTGAGAAAATTATGGAGCTCAGGCTCTGGTTGTAGACTGAGGGAGGCACTTCATACATACTCCATAACCTGGGGAGTTTGTCTAAATGAAATGTTATTCAGTGTTACTCTTTTTTTTTTTTTTTTTTTAGGTAGAGAAGTCTCATTAGCACCTAACTGTAGCAAAGAACACTCTCTGGGCATTGCTCTACTTTGTAACTTTTTACAAAGTACCAGCACGTCAAAGGTTATCTAGGCTTGGCTTCAATTCTCAGAGAGACAATGAGACCTGAGACTTCTTAGAGTCAATAGTGAAGTTTAAGTCCCAAACCAGTCTGCCTCTTTAACAAAATGTTCATTATACTTCACCAAAATCTCCTTTTGGCTATCTACCCTTGAGCTTATACTACAGAAGGGGTAGAAAGCCCCCAAATGACTGGATTTTAATTTCCTGCCATCAAAGGTTGACATTTCTCACGCATCTGTGTTTTGTGGTGAAAGATTCATACTTGCTATAAGAGTGCTCATAATACTTCAAAATATGTATATACCCATGGAAGAGGACTAGGATACAGTAGTACTAAAATAAAGTTGAAATATAGTCAAATGCTCACCTCCATCCTTAGGTCATCATTCATCCTGATGCAACCTGAAAGATCTGTTCCTGGGTGGGGGCCAACTTTAGGGCCTGGGCATCTGACAATAGAAAGCAAAGTTCCCTACTACAGAGAGAAAGACCGAGAATTTCAGCAGATACCAAAAATTTCCCTTCCCTATCCCAGCTTAACCAAATTTCTAATTAAGTTCATGGTTTTAGTAAGACATAAGGAAAGAGAGCTCCAACCTCCACCAGAGAGAGGTCGCAAACCACAGAGAATCTAGCCAAAAATGAAAATAAAGAATTTGCCATTCAAAATCTTGCTTCCTCGCCCTTGATACGGAAAGGGAATTTCACTGGGGTGGATAGTGCTCGCAAACTCCACTGATATTTTGAAACTTTTCCTAAGGAAGGTCAGTCTGTGTACTCAGAAAGGTGAGCACAGATGAACTTCAGGAGAGGGTGGGTGTGGGGACAGGGATTTGCAGAGGCTCATTAATCTTGAGGAAGAAGGAATAAAATATGATCAAAACCTCTCTGAATAAGTTAACTTAGCAGTATATAGTATATTCCTAAAAGTTGGGAAACATTCAGGTAGCCTAATTTGTCTTTTACATTTTAGAATGGACATTAGGGAATTCAAAGAACAAGAAAAGTCACTTCAAGAAAACTATAGAGGAGGGGTGCCTGGGTGGCTCAGTTGTTAAGCATCTGCCTTCTGCTCGGGTCATGATCCCAGGGTCCTGGGATCGAGCCCCACATTGGGCTCTCTGCTTGGCGGGGAGTCTGCTTCTCCCTCTCCCACTCCTCCTGTTTGTGTTCCCTCTCTGTCTTTCTCTGTGAAATAAATAAAATCAAAAAAAAAAAAAAAGAAAAGAAAACTATAGAGGTATCTTTGTTTTAAAATTGCCAATTTTCAGAAAGTCAGAAGTTCCATCATAAAGACCTTATGGTCTCAGGATACAAAAGTCTAACTGATTAGAAGTTCAGGCACTAAGAATAGGCCACCCATGAAGAACAGGGTAAGTATATTTTGCTGTTTTAACTTACTTGCATCTTCTAGTCACATCCAAAGCACCATCCTCTACTTCTCCATAGTTGGGCCTTTCACGTGAAACCTGGATTCGTTTGGCTACACCTGAGGAAAATGTCAATTCCAGGCTTGGAATTGCTGTGAGACTCTCTAGATGCAAGGCATCTGCAGAACAGAAAAGAATAAAACCAGAAATTTATTTCTGGTTTAAACTATATAATAAATATATATTTATTTATATTTATTCATATATATAATAAATATATAATATATAAAAATTCTTATATATATTTTTCTCATATATAATATATATTATATAATTATATATTATTTATTATATATAAAAATATATATTATACATATATAAATTTTTTCTCTTTTGAGAGGTTGGACCATTTCTGAAAAAGCAGAAGTCAGTTCAATTCTATTAACCCTATGAAAGCAAAAATGCCATTTTTTTTTTTTTTTAAGCAGAGTGGGGAGGGGGCAGAGAATCCTTGCCTAAAAACAACTAGAGGGGTCAACAATCTGCAGGCAGAGGATAAAATACATCCAGCTGCTTGTTTTTGTAAATAAAGCTTTACGGTAACAAAGACATACCCATTCATTCAATACTTGGCCACTTGCGTGATACCGAGTAATTGCTGCAGAAACCATACAGCCTGCAGAAGCTGAAGGATTTACTGTCTGGCCCTTGACAGAAACAGCTTTACCAAACCCTGAAGGGAAGAGGGTTAGACACTGTGATGGGGACCCATTAAAGAGACAAAGGAAATAGGGTAACGGATCGTGTGCTTTGGAGGAAGCCATCTTGCTATGTGTTTTTCTGAGTATAGGAAGCAGCAGAGTTTAACAGAAGAAAACAAAGGCATTGGAGTCAATCAGAAATTTTTAGTTCAGGTCCTGGCTCTGCCACACACTAGTTGTGTGCTCTTGGACGCATAACTAAACCACGCGGAGCCTCGGCTTACTTACATATGAAGTGACACACGACCTTAGGCAAATTACTAACTCCATATTGCTCCGTTTCCTTCTCTTCCTTGTCTTGAAAATGGAAATTACATTAGCCTCTACCTGGCAGGGATGTGGTGAGGATTAAATGAGGTAGGAGTGATGCGAAGAGCAGAGAGCCGCACTTGGCATATAGCAGGCGTCTGCTGCCCCTGTCGGTTGTGGTTGTGTTACTACTACTGGGTGAGCGTGAGTAACATCGTCTCTATAAAGCCCTAAGCTGTTGTTTGATACAAAACGGCCATTCAGTGAGCAGTGGTAGTAGTTTTCCCTTCTCTAGTTGAAATGATCCACAGATCAGTTTACTTGCTATTTATTTCTTCTTAACTTTATTTTGATAACCATCCCATGTCTTTTGTCGTTTCAGAACCAGCCATTAACTTTTGCTTTCAACCACATCTTGGTTGTGATGAGACATGTCACTACCATGAGCATTTCTTCCTAAGAGAAAGCTCATTCTCCTTAGCCTGGCACTGAGTAATAGCCCACCATTTGACCCACAACCTGCTCCAAACTTATATTCTACTGTATCACAACCAAACTCTTCTTGTTTCCAAAATGACTTGTCCAGCTTTTTTTTTTTTTTTTTTTGGGGGTCCTCCCCAGTTAAAATACTTTTTCCGTGCTTTTTGCTATTCCAAATGCAACCCACTTTCAAGGCCTGGTTCAACTCTCATTTCTTCTATGGAGCTTGCTCGGACTTCTCTGAGCCCATTCTAACCTCCCTGATAATCTGTGAGCTATTTTAGGATTTATTTTCTATTATTCATAATATGGGGTTTTGCATGGAGTAGGTGTTCAAACATCAGTTGACTGACAGAATTCAGGGAGAAATATCCAAATATTCAACAACTTTTCCTGTATAAATATAATTGTGATTAATTATTTTCCCTTTCAAAAAGAACCTTACCCTCAGCCATGCCTGATAGGGTGTAAGAGGGGGCTATCCATGCTTACCCAGCAGAGGTGTATACCAGCATGTATGTTTGAAGGTCAGGAGCGTCTGATATATTCTTGCTTCTTGCCCACTATAACGTTTATGGCAACACTGCTTCTGAACAGAAAATTAAATAGTATTAGCTATCTAAAGGGGTGTAACATAACATATTTCATCATCTATTCTCTTCATTTCCAAAGGTAGAAAGAATATCACTGGTATCAAGAAGAGGTCAAGAAGAAAATAAATGATTCCAAGTAATAAAGTAATAAAGCTTTCAACCTTTTGATCAAAAGCTATACCCTATGGGTAAAGTGTAATTCTCATTAAAAATCACAGTTCAATAATTTAACAGAATTATATCAATTCCCAATAATCGACACTGTCATATAAACAAAAGCCTTGAGGAAAAAGGTACGGATGAGAGGCAAGCTTAGTTATACAATACTTCTTCAGGATACCACAGTCAAATAATTTAACGTATTGCCATATCGTAGGGTCTACCAGCATTGTATGCATGTGTGTGACAAAGAAAAAGACTAGGTAGGGACGCCTGGGTGGCTCAGTCGGTTACGCGTCCAACTCTTGATTTGAGCTCTGGTCATGATCTCAGAGTCATGAAATCGAGCCCTGTGTTGGGCATAGAGTCTGCTTAGGATTCTCTCTCTCACTCTGACCAACCCCCCTCCCCCCATCCCCTGCTTGCACGCTCTCTCTCTCAAAAGAAAAAAAAGTTAAAAAAAAGAGAGTAGGTATCCATTGTTTCATCTAATAATCTCTCAAAAGTGGTCTGGCTTAAAGTACTAAGACTACTGATACATCCTGGACTTCACTTTCTCTTTTGACATAGTTGTGATTCACAACTGGCACTTAAATTGTTTCAAAAGCTTAAACTCACCAGTTGATCTTGAAATGGTTGTTGAATTCCATCTGTGCCGGACAAGGGATCACAGTGAGGAAATTCCTCATCTAAACAGCTCTGTCATGAGAAAATGGTGGAGTATGTTCAAAGGCAGAATGACGACAGAGTCAAAGATACAAAACATATTCCATTTAAGAGAAGATATGATGCTACCTGAGGAGGGTAGTATTGGCCAATTCTGTCAAGTATTCTACTTAAGGGAACAGGTTTGTAATTGTAAAGCTTTCATTGCATTTTCCCCCTTACTTGTTCTAGGAATGAAATTCAAAGATCAGGGACAGGAAATACAATGGCTTTGTCATTGAAATCTTTAGGCAGGGGCCAAAGAAGGTTGCTGGAGACATGTCAGTGTAGTGAAAATGTTGCCTGTGAAAATTTCATAACAATCAAATTGTGGCATTAGTCCAATCACAGTTATATTATATCACAGTTATATTATAATTGAAAATTGTATTTGTGTTCCTGATAAGATTAAAGCATATTTAGATGTGGAGGTTTTTCCACTTCAATTTATTGTAGGGGGCTTTTTAGGCACTCTGCCTGGCTTGATCTCCCACATGGAAATTTTTTTTTCTACTTAAACAGATGTGCCTGCATTATGCTCTGGAAACAGATACATGCAGACATCACCCTTCTTTCTTCCCTTCTCCAGTCCCTTTCCCCGTGCCAACCTTACTGTTCCTTATGTTCCTCATTTATGAACAAAAAGGAGAAATTCACCAAGTATCATAAGGGAAAGAAATACATTGAACTCTACCATGGATATATTGAGATATCCAGACAGGAAGGAGTTAAAAGCTTAATTCAAATAGGAGGGGCACCTGGGTGGCTCAGTTGGTTAAGTGTCTGCCTTCAGCGTAAGGATCAAGCCCTGAGTCAGGCTCCCTGCTGCACGGGGAGCCTGCTTCTCCCTCTCACTCTGCTGCTCCCCCTGCTTGTGCGCACTCTCTCTCTCTCCCTCTCTCAAATAAATAAAATCTTAAAAAAAAAAAAATAGGAGAAAAAAAGAGACAGGAACCATCCCAGCCCATCCAACAGTACGCATTCAAGAGTATCAGAAAAGAAGTGCCTAAGACTAAAACACTGGCCCTTTGCTAATAGATGCAGTAAATTCTAAAAATGCTTCCTCTTTAAAAGATGTTATTAGGAGCCATTCACTAATGTGAGTTTCCCCTTCTTATTTGGCTAAATGGTTTTGGTGCAGAAGAGAACAAAGTCCACTAGAGCATTTTCTTCTAAGTTGGTTAATTTTGTGATCAAAGTCATTATCTATTATAAATTAGCTTCAAATCCATATACAGATTGGACCTCTTCCCCACAGTAAACACATATCACAGGGTTTTTTGTTTTTGTTTTACCTGAAACAGCAAGCCATGGAGGCGTCCTTTAATTAACTTCTTTCTCAGTGACTCAGTTGTTGCTATAAAGAGAATTCATAACCAGCTTAATAGGACAATTTGTAACCCCCTTTTCCCTCAGTTCCTTTCATAAACTTTTAACAGCTTTAAATTTGGGGTCTGAGGAAAGGAGAGAGAAAGCAGTGACTTCTGAGAATGGTGTTCTCAACTCATGTCTTGTGGGAATGGAAGAGCGGAACAAAGGCTAGAGCAGCTAACCCATGATCACCCCTGGGCATTCAAAATTCACCTTGACAGATGCAAGTGATGTCCTCTAGAAGTGAATCACAGAATGATTCCACCTTAACTTAGGAATACACCTCAGAGGTCATTCAGTCCAACTGCCTAGGATGTGGAAATCTTCTCTCCCAGAAACCTCTGCATGAGCTGTGAGTGGGTGATGGTAGCCCCTAGAATTGGAGCCCCGTGACCCCAGAATCCTATGGGTAGGTCTGAGATGATGAGAACACTTTGTCCAGAGGATTTCAATGATAACTGGTTAGTCATGCAGCTGGGATCAGACTCACAGGATAATGTTCAATTCAGTATACTTTTTCATGAAATTAAAAATGTTTGTCTTTCTACTTCACTGAAATCTGCCTCCCAGTAACTTCCAACTTCTCATCTCTGGAGTAACAGAAATGAGGAAAAAAAATACCTTTTTAACTCTTTGAGTTACACAGGTACACATTACTTATCTGACAATCCATACTCTTTAAAATATAGACAAGAACCAGAAAATAGGCCCAAATCTTTTGAACCAAAATAGATGTTGATAGTCGTGACCTTTATTCCTGTGAATTCCTCACACTTCCACTCATCCAATAGGCTCTGAATTTATACATAATTCTCACAAGCTCTGACTGCTTTCTCAGCCCACAGATGATTAAAACAAAAATTACGTGAGGATAGGAAGCTCTGCTAGATGAAGACATATTGACATATTAATAGCTGCCTTTTTTTTTTTTAATCACTGACAGCAAGGAAAATTCATAGCAAATACTCTGTTGTCCAAAACACATACGAATCTGGAGCAACAGTTTTATATCTCAATAGCCTGAAGAAATTCTGAACCATTAAAATAATACTAATATATGTGAAAAGTACATAATCGAACAAAAAAATTTTTTCTAAGAAAAAACTCTTGAAAAGCTTCAATTATATCAAAAATTACCCATGTAAAATTCTATTTTGTAAGAATTTTTTTTTGTAAAAATACCTTATTTCACAACTAAGCTTGACATAGTTGTTACTAGGCCCACTAGGAGGAAAATACTTTTTAAAATTTCTAACATATTTAAGTAATTAAATTATTTAATCTTTAATACTTAAAACTCTAGTAAAGATTCAATTTTAGAAAATTCTCTCTTTTAATGGTATTAAATAAATCCTTCTCCCGACCTACATCTAAGCAACAGCAACCAAACCTTTCAGAAGTGGCCAACATTATGTTTGTGAAGGTCGTGTATCTCCAAAACACTGTCTTTGGATTTCCAAATAAGCTTGTGTTTCAGAAGAAATAATGAGTTAGTATAAGACTATTTAAATTGCCCATCTGCTTTCCCACCAGGCAATCTTGAGTTTTAGGAACAGTCCATCTCAAAACATTTAAATCGTAAACCTTATTTCAACAGATGTTTTGTGCAATGTGTAGCAACTATTTCCATATGTTCCATGAGGCAAAACACATTGCCTTATGACCCTGATTTGCATTCACCTTTGTATTCTTTTTTATGTGTTTGGAGTTGGACCTGCCATGTCTCTAGGACATTTAGATTTTACATGGAAGCAAATGAAACAACGGTCACTGTATCCCCTGCTGCTGCCATCTGTGATATAGGATGGGATCGGGTGTCTTGCATACATTGCCTTTGAAGGAAGCTGGGATAAAACAACTTTCCAAATGACTATGCAATGAGACTCTCAGGCAAAGGCCCTGCAATTAATTGGCTGTTGATAATTAAAACTATAGTATTAGAATGATAATAATGCTAGTTATCAATGATGGTTGACATTTATGGAGCATGGATTTTTATAACACATTATATGTGTTATCTCATGTTCTATAAAACTGTGTATTAAGAAAAATCAAGTTTCATTGAAAACCACAGACCAGGAGAAAATAATTTGCAACACATATATCTATCAAAGGACTTGTATCCAAAATATGTAAAGAAATCCTACAACGCAATAACAAAAGGACAAATGTCCTAATTTGAAAGTGGGCAAAAGATATTTCACAAAGAAGATATATAATAGCCAATCAGTACAACAAATGAAAATCACAACAAGATACCCAGAAGAGTGACAAAAGTGGAAAAGATTGACACCACCACGCATTGATGCTGTAAAGAAACTGGAACTCCCACACACTGCTGGTGGGAGCGTGAAATGTTACTGACCCTACGGAAAACTGGCAGTTTCTTAAATGGTTACAGCTACACTATGACCTAACAGCTCTGCTCGTAGATCTTTATCCTAGGTTAAGGAAAAACATATGTCTACACACAAACCCATACACAGATGTTCATAGCAGTTTGCTCCATAACAACCCCAAACATCTAAATAATTTAGATGTCCAATAATAGAAAAGATAACCAAATTGTGGAACCATTCATACAAAGAAATACGACTCCATCATGAAAAAGGCATACCATGAATAAACACAACATATTAAGATAAATATTATGTTGAGGGAAAGAAGACAAAAACACAAAAGTACATATTTTATATCTCAATTCTAGAAGCTAAACTAACCCATCAGTGATAAAAATCAGATCAGAGGTTGATCCTTATAGTGGTGGAGGTGGGGGAGGGGCAGTGACTGGAAAGTAGCACAAGGGAAATTTCTGCGGTTACAGTTCTGTGTTTCGATGTGCATTTGGCAAACTGGTTAAATAAGACACTTAAGGAGATGCCTGGGTGGCTCAGTCGGTTAAACGACTGCCTTCAGCCCAGGTCATGATCCCGGGTCCTGGGAAAAAGCTCTGTGTCAGGCTCCCTACTCAGTGTGGAGCCTGCTTCTCCCTCTCTTGCTCCCCCTGCTTTTGCTGTCAAATAAATAAATAAAATCTTTAAAAAAAAAAAATACACTTAAGATCTGAACATTTCATGATGTTAATTATGCACTAATAAAAAAAAGAACGTAAAAATTACAAGAACAAAAATAACAGTTTATGAGATAAACATCGTTAGGAAGAGACCACTAAAAATGTATACACAACATTGTAACCAGAGCACTAACACACACAATTATATAGTGCCTCAGAAGATAACTTATCACCAAGACGTGCCTCTTAAAATCACCAAAGGCTGCCCCACAGGATAATAGAAATGCACAGGATAATAAGAATAGGTAAGAAAAGCGTGGAGATGCTGGTGACATTTAAATGGCGCAGTGCTGGTGGGATGCTAAGAAAATGCAGATGGGAGTAGAACTCAGGCGGTGGGACTGCTGCAGTGAACGCAGGAGGGAGTACAGCTGGCCTTGAGCCAGAGCCCTGCAAGGCTGGGCGGCACTTCTCTGGGGGAGGAGGCCCAAGTGCAGACACTTAACAAAATAAAGCTAAAAGGGCTCCTGCTGTTTGTCAGCAGCCAAGCCGAACACTTTCTCCTTCCCCGCTGAAGGTTATGGTTCAATCCCTACCCATCCAGATCCCGTTCCTAGGAAAATCATGAATGAAACGACACAACTTCCGTCTGACATTCGCGTCATTACCCATTGGCTAATGGTGAACGAGGTAATGCACGCGGCAGGAACGTGATCTAGCAGAACAGACTCTCCCAAGTATGACCAAGCACTAGCTATTGTTTTGCATTTGTTATTTATAAATTACCTACTGCATTTTCTGGAAGGGGATACTGAGTACTCAGAGAGGTAAAGAGATTTGCCTAACTTTATCCAGTTTCGCTTTTGACTTAGAACATAGGTTTGTTTAAGGCCAAATACCATGCTCTTAGTCATTACGCTATATGGCCTCCTAGATTATTTCATCCATTTCTGCATCCTACATTTGGGAAAACTTAGGCGCCCATCCCATCAGAGCTGCTGAGCAAGCTCTGATTTGGGGTTTTTCCCTTGGTCCTCAACCTAACACCTATCTTTAAGTGTCTCAATCACCTCCAGCCCCCGTGCGTGTCTCATTTCCCTCTTAGGTACTGACTGCTCGAGACACGTGGCTCTCATCTTGCATCCATCCTCAAAGCCATAAGGCTCTTATCTGTCCCCTACCCCATGCCCTCCATGCTAAGGACAGCAAATTAGAAGACAGTTTCCAGTGGGTTCATCTAGGTGAAAGCCTTCTCTAAAGTTTATACAGCTACTATGTTCAAATAAGGAATTCTGATATACAGGAGCCGCTCAGGCTCTCTTGCCAAGGAAATATTTATAGTTTCTAAAGGTAATCAGTTCCCTCGTTATTGATTAAATCAGGGACTCAATGAAGATTTCATGTTAGAAGGGGGCAAGAAGAGGATGAACAGGAAAGAGGTGATAGAGTCTCTATTAGATCAAGTGGTCTATGTTTCATTAGATTCACTCTAATATGTTGGGTAAACACCCGAGATCTAAGAAGGCTTTTTGTTTCCTTTTCAAAACAAACATCCATTTATACCTAGTATTGCCTTTGTTAACAAGATACTTGGATACATAAGTAAGAAGCAGAAGAAAGAAAATATGTAAGTAACCATTCAAGAAACTTAGCAGTTCTAATGGCACAGGGTCACAGAAGCTGGTATGTACACTTAGAACCTCATACATCAGTCCAGTCCTGGTGGCCACTGAAAACTTGAACAATATTACCTCTTCAATATGAAGTTCAGGATAATCCAATGTCATAAACAACTTCCTAGTTCCAGTTTACGAACCCCGTCATTGACCTGAACAATTGGACACAATCACTGAATCCCCACCCAATTTGCAAAAGAACCATTCTCAGACACGACAAAAAGCCATTGCCTTCAACACTTAATAAATGTATTAAGCTAACCAGAAAGTTTCAGAAGAACTAAATGGATTTGAATATTTTTGTTTTCTGACTCAGAATTCAAACGTCTGACTCAGAATTCAAACAGCATGTGGTGACAGTGATAATGCTAGAATGTGCCAGGATGTGTTTATGTGATAACTGTCCTACCTCACTGACATTTATTCACAGTCTATCTGGAAAATCTGCTCCACAGAACATTTCAAAAGTATGTGCCACCTAAATTTCCCTCTTGTTGCAAAGGTTGATTTTTAAGGGCATTGTTAGAAAAATCCTCATAAGCAAATGGTCTTCAGAGCAAAATCTTGGTATGTATGCCTTCTATGGGCAGCAAAAGATACAAACAAGTAAAAGAACTCAAAAAGCTAGGCAGGTTGTGAGCAACTCAAGACAGAAAGGAGGCATCCACTCTACTTTATGCAGCCAAGAAAAAAAAATACACGCTTGTGACCCAGGGTGGCTTTCATCTTCTATTTTTAAGACTATTTGGACCAATGAAGTGAGAAGACAATAGCAAGTTCATTATATCAAGAATGTATATTTTGGGATAAGTTACAAAAGTTGACTCTTCCAAGAAGGTACTAAAAGGAAATCAAAGGGGCAGGGGGGAGAGTTGTGGGAGGAGATAAATTCTTAGTTTTATAAAACTATGAGGTATAATGCTGACTTAATCAAAGATAAATATAACTGAACCAAAAGATTAGTCCTCTAAGTACAGTGTCTAAAACAAACATACCATAAACCAAATTTGGAACGCCTTATTATTCATGTCTCAACATGAACACTTCTAATCACAAGGGAACCTTTTCCAATGCTCTCTGAGCAATCATAAAATAACATATAGATTATGTAATTTAAAGACTTACACTATCATACTTAAAATTATTGAAAACTAGCAAGTCCTGCAAGGTTTAAAAATAATAATAATAAAATACTGAATAATTACTGTTACGTTAGAACTAGCCAAGTCCTTTAAACTTTTAAACAGCATTCTCAGATAGCAGTAGAAAGGGTACAATAAATCCAAAACAAACCCAGGTCTGAAAATCTCCTTCTCTAGCTTAGCTTAAGTTGATAATTCATTTGTTACCCAAATCAATAATTTTGTCTACAAAGAGCATCTAGGACAGCTAGAACAAGAAGCTGGCCAAACAAAAGCAATTGCCTGATAAATGGTCAAATAAGCTTTGTTTTTACCAAATTATGTTTCTAGGATAAAATTCGCTTCTGAATAATCTGACATCTGTCATTTAACAATTGTCATTTCACCTAAATCCTTAGTAAACAGTTACTTTCAGGTAATACAGAAAAATGACAAATATTCTAATTTTTTTAAAGCAAAATATATTTGTAAAGAGCACATTAAAATTTAAAAAGGATTTTCACATATTTAATATTTTGATGCACTGAATTCATAAGTATTTTGCCCACCCCTAAAACTACTGTGTAAAAGAAAATAGAGAGGCAGGTCCTTTTCTACCATATCATGGGTACAAGCTAGCTAATAAAATCAGGATAGAATAGGTAAGCCATTTGCAAGTTCAAATACCCCATGCATACAAGATTATTTTCCCCCTTGTTTACTTTTACAGATACTGAGAACTTTAATTTTTAAAGAAATAACAGTCATGGACAAATCCAGCTCATAATTAAAAAAAAAAAAAAAACACTGAAAGGGAAAGTTAGTCGTTAAGTCAGCCTACTTGGACACCAGGCAAGCCTCTCTGGAAGCCCACGATACTGCCTTCTGGAACCATTTTATTGTCATAAATGTGGGTATTAACACAGCAGCTGTCTCATCTACAAAAATGGCTGTAGTCCTTTTGTCCCACCTCTGAGTGGACTGAATTGGACATAACACATATTTGCTACTCACTTTTCAATTTCCTCGTCTTCTGCTCAAGTGTCTGGCAAGTGTTCACTAATTCGGTATTTACAGTCTGGAGATTCAGTTGTTCCGAGATTGCTTCCTCTAATTCATGCAGCAAAGACTTCGCTTTGTCGCCGGCTGAGTGGGCTGCCGGATCTCGATCCTCAACCTGGACACGTACGGTTAATACTGGATTTTAGCAGGGTGGCCAGGAAAGAAAGCAATTGAGCCCTCACTGGTATTATGCACACGAAACTGAAAATGTGCTTTTCTTCTCAGGGAAGTGATAAGCCTCTAGCGAACTTCTGCAATTCTGTGTTTGCATGGGCTTTGTATGCCTGAGCTATTTCTACAGCGGTAAAAGTCCTGATATGTCAAGTTGCTTCTTTCTGCAAAGATGCCTCTTTCATCAGGAGGCTGTTGACACCACCTCCTTTACAACTCCCCTGTACTTCCTCCGCTCACTGCTGGTCGCCAGGGACTGAACTTCGCAGTTCCTCTTCGGGTTTTTTTTTTCTTTTCTTTTCTGTTCCTCCTCCGTTTTTTACTTCATGGTCTCAAGGACATCTGAGGAAACTTCCCCTTGAATATAAAGTAGTCACAGGCTACCCTACCTGCTCCTCTCTGTCCTCCAGCCATTGGCTGGTTCCTTGAACCTTCTTCCTAACGACAGCTTCCTGGTTGACAGCATCTTCTTGCACTTGTTCAAGGGCTTCTCGTTGTTTCTGCCTGGAGTTTAAAAAAAAAAGAGTCCAAACCACAAGCTGTCAGTGACATTTCAACTGAGAGTCACCCTGGGAAGTTGTGACAAATTCAAACTTAATGCACTTCCTCAGAAATCAGAGGGAAAAGTGAAAGTATTTACATACATATAAATGCTTAACAAATAGAGAATTTTAATCAAAGCACTCATATTGATCAGTTGGCCTGATACCCTCACTTTAGAGATAAGGGCATTTGGTCTCCTATTTTACACTGGGATATTCAGTTTCCCACAAGCTACATTCATCGTAGTAATTAGCATCAGGCACCAATTGCTTAGAGGATGGCACGGTAATGAGGTCACTGTGACAGGTGCGGTATTTACACATCATAGCTAGCTGTTTCAGAAAAAGAAAGGAAAGGGAAAGATAAAAGAAAAAAAAAGCAATAAAAGCTTTGGGTCATGACCGTGGCCTTTTCTCCTTAAGAGTTGTCAATCATGGGCGCCTGGGTGGCTCAGTTGGTTAAGCGACTGCCTCCGGCTCGGGTCATGATCCTGGAGTCCCTGGATCGAGTCCCGCATCGGGCTCCCTGCTTGGCAGGGAGCCTGCTTCTCTCTCTGACCCTCCCCCCTCTCATGTGCTCTCTCTCTCTCATTCTCTCTGTCTCAAATAAATAAATAAAATCTTTAAAAAAAAAAAAAAGAGTTGTCAATCATGCTAAATGGTGAGCCCAAGAAGGGTTGCCCCCAAGCATGGACGGAACACTCCATGTTAGTATTTCCACCACAGTCTTGTCTTTCCTGAAAACTTGACCCCCCTCCCTTTCTTCCTCATTCCAAATCTCTTAGTGTTGTTATGTTACCTCTCTTTTGGATACATTTCTAATCCTCCAAAATGTATTAAAATGCACCTGCTCTCAGCTGATGAGATTATTTAAACAATGCTAGGTATCAATATATCAATGACTATCTGGAAAAAGCTTGATCTGAATAACGATGATATCCTTAGCTCAAAGGGATGATAAACTTTGGGAGCTTCAAAGCAAAGAGGAAGACATTGTCAGGTTTAGGCCTTTTGCATGCCTCTCAAACATTAACACAGTCAGAATCTCATCGTATATTGGCATAAATCTAGCCCTAAGTACAAGAAGAATCGCACGAAAGACAAGGATGGTGGCACAGAATGCTTACCATCATAGTAAACTAGCAAACAAAACTCTAAACAAAAATAAAAACTACCTAAATAATCTATTGAGCCTTGTTCAATACCTTATAGTCAGTTTCTTCTTGTTTTAAATTTTGTAAGAACATTTAACATGAGGTCTACCCCCTTAATAC